GCCGCGCTACGACTTTTTTCCTTTAATACAAGGTAGCCTATATAAAAACGTTAGTTTAGATATGACGTAATTGTGCAAATTTGTACATATCTATACTACTATTGTGCTTGCGACGTGAAGATATTTATTATAAATGAATGTAAATCTCTATAAACCAACATAAAACATGTGGAATTGAACTTCCATTTTCAATTTTTTATTCTTGACCATGCATGCGCTGGAACAGCCCGCATTGATCCAGCTCAACAAATACTTGCTGCTATATAATTATAGACATTATATAGTCTCTTTTCATTATCGTCATCTAGGTGTTAGGCACTGGTGCTTGCCTGTCATTTGTTTGTGCGCCTCGTTTAAAAAAGACACTTTCACATAAATTTGAGCACGAAATAATGGGTGAACAAGAACGGAGCGTTAACCATGGTACGGTCTGTGCTCAACATTGTTTTTAGAAACAGAACCAGTTTCAACTTTGCGCAAACTTTGCGGCAACTTTGTGCCGTGTCTGAACGCTGCTTACGAAACCCGCACTGCATGGAGGAGATGAGCGATGCGTGCCGCGCGCCAGTGTTTCCGGTCAATATAATTCCACGAAGATGAATTCTGTTAAATCATTGGTTAAATACCTGTCGCGTGGAGACATGCTATATTAGTACATACTACATACACTCAACGAACATTCAGGTCGTATTCATATATTTAAACAGCAAAACGTGTAGCGTGTCAAAAATGTGTTCAAGTTCGCAACAAGGAAATGCTAAACTAGCCCTTGGACTGTCGAAGTTGTACGAACGAGAGTTTAATCAACCGGATCTGCATGACAAAGTTTTAGTGTTTGATGTTGTCGCTTCAAATAAGCACGATTTGAGCAAAGAAAATGTCAGAGAGAATAAGAGTAATATGAACGAAATAATTGAGAACGAAGAAGGTGAGAATCAATGGGAACGTGCAAGCAGAAACGGGAAAGTTAACAATGAGGGAATCAATACTGACGATGAAAATGAAACCAAAGTATATAATTGCGAGATGTCTTCAAAATATGCAAATGGTTGGTATAAAAAATTCCTCTCCGCTAATAGATCGACGCGCCAGCATTCGCGTGGGCGTCCTGCAATAACTTCAGACTTGTTTTATAACTCACACACAGAACACAAACTTTCATGCGCTGCATGAATTTGCAATCCGTGAAATTCGAACATTTTACAGATAACATTTTACAAAATAAACTACTTTATAATTGTTATAAGGGCTAGGAACCTACTAGAAACCTATAAGTATAAGGCTTTTATTCAGGCCCCTAAATTTCAGTTTTAATAACGAAAAGCGATGCAACTATAGTCCCTTGCGCTTGATTTAGAAAAATAATTAACATAACGTTTAATTGTGTACATTACCATGTATTAAGTTGTATGAAAAACAGTCGCTAGCAAACATTAAATCACAGTAAATGAAAATATGAGAGTAAATAGAAACAAATTAAAGGATCAGCCAGAATCTGAAATTTCAAATGATGTCAAATCTGCATCTTTATTTATTTCCAAAGGTGGTCAACGAGTTGAAAAACGATTGAACAATTTGGGTGAAGATGAACATGTTGGAACGGAGACTAACGCCATTAAAGATACCTTAATTGATGAAGACAAAATGAAATGCGTCGAAGTTAATGAAGCCGAAGAGACAGCAGCCGCTAGCAAACATGAAATTACAGTAAATGAAAATGTGAGAGTAAGTCCACATGCAAACAATAGAAACAAATTGAAGGATCAGCCAGAATCTGAAATTTCAAATGATGACAATGATCCAAATCTCCATCTGAGTGACGGAGAAACAAGTGAAAAGCTTTTGAATCACAGTGGGGTTTCCAGTGGAAAGAATTATAAGGTTACAAGCTTCAATACCAGTGAAGGCCAAATCATTGAACAACATAAATTCTATGTTCATAGTTCATGGTTAGCCCTACAGAGTTCTTACTTCCGGTCCTTGTTTTTCCCGGAAAGAAATACGCATCGGTGCACGGAAGTCCATGTGAAAATTCCTAGAAACGAGGAGAAAGCTCATTTCATGTTATTAGAAGCGATGTATAAGATTCGTTCATTAGATAATGCTAGTGTTGATGACCTCCTCAAAGTTTTGCGGCTTGCTCATGAATACAATGTTGAATTTGTATTGCAAAAATGTGTTTACAGTTTACAATCCGCAGTAGTGTCCCTTGAAATTTGCAAAAAAATTATGTGCTTCATTGAAGTTGAAAATGCCATCACATATGCGGATGATCTTGTAATCACCCTGCAGTCTTTTCTTGAGAAAGAATTTAGCCCTTTAGATGAAACATGGCCGACAAAGAGTTTTGAAGATCTGAGCGAGACTTTATTAAGGTATCTTCTGAACAGTGACAAACTCGTCGTGATCAGTGAGAACACGGTTTTTCATGCATTAATGCACTGGATTGAAAAACGTGGTATTGAGAAACTCTCAGAAAGTCGTGAGCTTCCATCACTATTGTCTGTTGTCCGGTTTGAAATGATGACTGTTGATTATCTGTACGATATTGTTCAGCACAATCCCATCGCAAAGACGCTACCAGATTTCCATGAACTTTACCTAAGAGGAATCAGTTATCATGCTCTATCAGGAACAACACGACAACGGTCGTTGCCTCAACCAGTGACAAGAAGAGAAAATTCATGGTCCTCTATAGTCTACACATGGAATATACCGGGGGATCAGTTGGATTTGTTGGTGGGAAACAACAAATCATTCAAATCAGATGAATTTTGGGTTTGTGGCTATAAAATGGTTTTGGTCATTGAAGATGTTTCCCAGGTTGAAAACCATAAGATGTTCCACGCTAAACTTTCTTTGGAAGTTCTCAATTTGACCGATCAAAGTGAAATGACGATTAAGTGGAAACCAACCTGTAAAACAAGTTATATATCAACCTCCTTTTGGGAAATATTCACGTTTAACAAAGAATCACGTGTGTCTTCGGTTAATATGAGTTATATAACGGCAACGACCCTCCCGCCTCTTAGCTCTCCAACGAAAAATGTCTTCACTGGGGCTGCGTCAATTACATCTAGGCCTCCACCACAGTCACGTGATGGGATAAATCTTGGCATTCCAACAACAAATGTACCCACTGGTACTACGTCAACTACAAAGCCTTTGTTTGTGTTGTCTACAGATGCTGCGTTTACATCTCAGTCACGTAATGGAGTGAATCCTACCTTTCCAACAACAAATGTATCCAATGGTGCTGCGTCAACTACAAAGCCTTTGCATGTGTTTCCTGCAGATACGTCTCAGTCACGTAGTGGAATGAATCCTACCTTTCCAACGACAAATGTATCTACGCGTGCTGCGTCAACTACAAAGCCTTTGCGTGCGTTTTCTACTGCTACGCGGTCGCTTCTATCTCGGTCACGTAGTGAATCTCCTAACTGCCAAATGTGTCCACTGGTGCTGCGTCAATTACAAAGCCTGCGTTTGTGTTTTCTACAACTACGCCTCCATCTCAGTCACGTAGTCAAACGTATCATAACCTTCCAACAGCAAATGTGCCCACTGGTGCCGCGTCAGCTACAAAAACTTCACTTTTGTTTTCTACAGCTACGCTTCCATCTCAGTCACGTAGTGAAACGTATAACTTCCAACATGTGCCTATGTGCTGCATCAACTACAAAGCCTGCGTTTGTGTTTTCCTACGCTTCCATCTCAGTCACGTAGTCAATCTAATCCTACCTTTCCAATGACAAATGTGTCCACTGGTGCTGCTTCAACTACAAAGTCTTCGTTTTTGTTTTCTACTTCTACGCCTTTCTCTCAGTCGCGTAGTGAAACGAATCCTAATCCTAACCTTCCAACAGCAAATGTGTCCACTTGTGCTGCGTCAACTACTAAGCCTTCGTTTGGGTTGTCTACAGCAACGTTAACATCTCAGTCACGTAATGGAGTGAATCCTACATTTCCAACGACAAATGTATCCACTGGTGCTGCGTCAACTACAAAGCCTTCAGCGTTTGGGTTGTCTACAGCTACGCTTCCATCTCAGTCACGTAATGGAGTGAATCCTACCTTTCCAACGACAAATGTGTCCACTTGTGCTGCTGCAACTACAAAGCCTTCGTTTGTGTTTTCTACAGCTACCTTAACATCTCAGTCACGTAATGGAGTGAATCCTACCTTTCTAACGACAAATGTATCGACTGGTGCTGCGTCAACTACAAAGCCTTCGTTTGGGTTGTCTACAGCAACGATTCCATCTCAGTCACGTAGTGAAGTAAATCCTGCCTTTCCAACGATAAATGTGTCCACTGGTGCTGCGTCAATTACAAAGCCTTCGTTTGTGTTGTCTACAGCTACGATTTCATCCCGGTCACGTAGTGGAATAAATCCTACCTTTCTAACGACAAATGTATCTACAGGTGCAACGACGTCTAAAACGCCAGTTTTTGCATTCTCTGCGGATACGTTTTCATCCCAGTCACGTGGTGGAATGAATTATGGCCTTCCAACGACAAATGTATCCACGATCGCCAGTGCTTCGTCAAATCAAAATGCAAATCCTTCATCAAGTGTTAGCAAACCAGCTTCAGGTGAAATAGGGAAAGTACTCACTGGCATTAGCTTTTCCATTTACGCAAAAGTAAAGTAAATAAGATAAACACGGAACTTTTGGTGCCAACGTGCAATCAACTTGGTATCCACTATAAAATGAACGATGTATAACGTGTAAATAGATTACTACATTATATTGACTTAGTCAACACAATGTAACTAATGTTGACCGTAGAGAATGAATGGGATTCAAATTCATTTAATTTATTTCCAGTCATGTATTATACCTGGCAAATATTTTCACAATTTCAAACTTAAAGAACAAAACGCAAAGCTGGTACAAGTAGATAGTAAAAATTTGACCGGGTGGGGAGCATAGCGAGATGAGTTCGGAACTGAAACTTTCAGACTCCCGAGTTAATATTTTCTCAGCAAGTTACGCGTTGTGGAATTTGTAGTTAAGATGCGTCTTTCGTAAGCATGCCGCTCTATAGCTAGGTTGTCTAGGCGACCATGGGGCCAATAGTGTGCAACCAGTTTGCATTGTTTCCCAGCCTCGTTCCCAGGCTCTTGAAAGTTTTCGCGGATACAGCACTGAACGCGCGGGGGTGCTTGGGGAGAGCTTGTTTCCGGTTACTTCCACGGAAAGGATTTAAGGTAATTCCTGTTCACTAGCCTGATACACAGACGAAAAAATTCAAACAATTACCGAAGCTTCCAAAGCACGGTTTCTGAATAGAGTTTCTGAAAGGTGTAAATGTTTAGTGCTACTATACACGTTGATGTCTTACACATCATATCAATATTACCAAGTGAAATTTAAACGGCTATAGCCGTATATTTTTAACAAGCATTCGGCTACATGCCGTCAGGTAAATAAACATATTGTAACGTGTGGCGTGGTAAAAATGTCCTCAGCTTTTCAACAGGCGAACGGTTTTAAACTAGCCCTGGGACTGTCGAAGTTGTTCGAACGAGAGTTTAATCAACCGGACCTGCATGACAGAGTTCTGGTGTTTGATGTTGTCGCTTCCAAGAAGCACGAACTAAGCACATCGAATGTGATAGGGAATAAAAGTAGTGAAAACGATGTAGTTTTCCAGAACAGTGCGGGTGAGGATCAACGCGAACCTGGAAATCAGAGCGGGAAAGTCGACAATACTAGCGATGAAAATGAAACTGGAGTCCACGGCTGCAAAATACTCCCAATGTATGCAAACGGTTAGTATCACAAAATAAATAATAGATTAATCACGCGGTAATCAACAGGGGTTTGCGTGGGCGTCTTGCAAAAAGCTCGTAGGCCTAAGTTTAACCTACATAACTTACCATGATATACGTCCCATTTTGGTCGCGTTGAAACAGTGCAATTATCTGGCAACCCTGGTTGTGAAATGTAAAATAATGGAAAAAAGGCCCTATGGCTATTAGGTTTCTGCAAATAATTTCTATATTACACACTGACTAGGTAACTATTTTCGAGCCAAAAATGATTACTTTCCCTGCGCGTTATATAGCTCCAAATGTACAGCTACAAAAACTATAGTAAGTTTCGTGGGGTATGTATTTTCCGTGCTTTACAACATCTCTGAAACAAAGTTGTTTTACTTCTTTTATAAAATCACCATCGGTGTTAACGAGAACCATGCAGTAGTGGAGAGCTACAAATTGAAGATGTCGCGAGCTTTAAAACATTTCTTTCAATTGCATGCCTTCAATTTAGTACATAAAAATCCATTTCAAAAGGTTCAATTTTCGAATGCAACCTGACTCTTACAGCCAATAACGCAGTCAGCAACTTTGCCCCATTCGATAAAGCAGATAAAGAATTCCTGTCGTTATATGTGCACCTATACGGAGTCGCTGCATGGATTGCTGAATAAATAATAAACCAAATATGAGTATCATAACTTTATTATCTCTGTTTTAAACAAAGAAATCGAAAACAAAGGGATCCCCATAAGAATGCTTGGGCATTATTATTGATTAATCAAACTATATAAATATTCGGATGCTTATATATACATGTGATAATCGTCCTATGTACGTTTATTTCTTTTAAAAGGTAATCGGGGAAAGAATTGAACAACTTAGTGATCAACACTTTGGATCATGCCCAACTGATGAGGACAAAAGCGCGAGGGAAACGGCAGTCGCCACGAGCATGAGATAACACTTAGTGAAACGTGAAACTGAAGCGGCGTTCGAGCAATAGAAGCAAATTGAAGGATCAGCTTGAATGGAAAATTGGAAATGATGATAATTATTTTAAATCGCAGTCCAAATGACGCAAAACAAAGTGAAAAACCGTTATATCCCGGTGAGATTCCAAGTGGTAGCAATAAAATAACGAGTTTCTCTTCCATTACCAGTGAAGGTCAAATCACGCAACAACATAAATTCTATGTTCATAGTTCATGGTTAGCCGTGCAGAGTTCTTACTTTCGGTCCTTGTTTTTCTCTGAAAGAAATACGCCTCGACGCAAAGAAGTTCATGTGAAAATTCCTAGAAGTGAGGAGAAGCTCATTTAATGTTATTAGAAGCTTATAGGATTCATTCTCTGGATAATGCTAGTGTTGATGAACTTCTCAAAGTTTTTACGGCTTTCTTATAAATACGTGTAAAGTTTGTATTGAAGAAGTGCGAATACCGGTTTGCAAGCTGCGCTGTAGTGTCACGTGCAACTTGTGAGAAGATTGTGCGCTTTATACGAGTCGAGAATACGATTTCTGATGTCGACGATCTTGTAATCACCCTACAGTCGTTCCTGGCTAAAAATTTAGTCCTTTAGATAAAAAAATGGCAGACAAAAGTTGTTTGAACTTTAATGTGGCTTCATTAAGGTATCTTCTGGGCAGTGATGAACTCGTCGCAGCCAGCGAGAACACGATTTTTCATGCATTAATGCACTGGATTGAGAAACGCGGGATTGAGAATCTCTCAGAAAGTCGCGAGCTTCCACCACTATTGTCTGTTGTCAGATTTGAATTGATGACTTTTAATTATCTGTACGATGTTGTTCAGCACCATCCTATCGCAAAGATGCTACCAGATTTCCATGATCATTACCTAAGAGGAATCAGTTATCATGCTCTATCAGGAACAACACGACAACGGTCGTTACCTCAACCAGCGACAAGGAAATTAAATAATAAATTGCCCTGTGTTGCCTACACATGGGATATACCGGGAGATCAGTTGGATATGTTGGTGGGAAGCGATAAATCCTACAGGTCAGATGAGTTTTGGTTTTGTGGCTATAAAATGGTTTTGGTCATTGAAGATGTTTTTCAGGTTGAAAACCATGCGCTGTTCCGTGCTAAACTTTCTTTGGAAGTTCTTAATTTGACTGACCGAAGTGAAGTAACGATTAAATGGAAGCCAACAAGTAAATTAAATTGTAAATTACTACCCTCGGACCCTTTTGCGGAGAAATTGCACACGTTTAAGACGAAAGCACGTGTGTCATCTGTTCATATGAAATATGAAATGGCAACAACACCTGCGTCCCTTATTAGCTCTCCAACGACAAATGTATCCACTGGTGCTACGCCTCCATCCCAGTCACGTAGAGGAATGAATCCTACCTTTCTGGCGACAAATGTATCCACCAGTGCTGTGTCAACTGCAAAGGCTTCATCTGTGTGTTCTAAAGCTACGCTCCATCTCAGTCACGTAATGGAGTGAATCCTGCCTTTCCAACGACAAATGTATCCACTGGTGCTGCGTCAATTACATGGCCTTCGTTTGTTGTCTACAACCACGCCTCCATCTGAGTCACGTGTTGGAATGAATCCTACATTTCCAACGACAAATGTATCCACGAGTGTTGCGTCAACTACAAAGCCTTTGCATGTGTTTCCTGCAGATACGTCTCAGTCACGTCGTGGAATGAATCCTACCTTTCCGGCGACAAATGTATCCACCAGTGCTGCGTCAATTGCAAAGGCTTCATCTGTGTGTTCTAAAGCTACGCTTCCATCTCAGTCACGTAATGGAGTGAATCCTGCCTTTTCAACGACAAATGTATCCACTGGTGCTGCGTCAATTACATGGCCTTCGTTTGTGCTTTCTACAACCACGCCTCCATCTGAGTCACGTGTTGGAATGAATCCTACATTTCCAACGAGAAATGTATCCACGAGTGTTGCGTCAACTACAAAGCCTTTGCATGTGTTTCCTGCAGATACGTCTCAGTCACGTCGTGGAATGAATCCTACCTTTCCAACAACAAATGTATCTACGCGTGCTGCGTCAACTATAAAGCTTTCGTTTGGGTTGTCTGCTGCTACGCGGTCGCTTCTATATCGGTCACGTAGAAAAACGAATCCTACCTTTCCAACTGCAAATGTGTCCACTGATGCTGCGTCAATTACAAAGCCTGCGTTTGTGTTTTCTACATCTACGCCTCCATCTCAGTCATGTAGTGAAACGTATCATAACCTTCCAACAGCAAATGTGACCACTGGCGCCGCGTCAGCTACAAAAACTGCACTTTTGTTTTCTACAGCTACGCTTCCATCTCAGTCATGTAGTGAAACGTATCCTAACCTTCCAACAGCAAATGTGACCACTGGTGCTGTGTCAAAAACAAAGCCTGCATTTTTGTTTTCTAAATCTACGCCTCCATCTCAGTCATGTAGTGAAACGTATCCTAACCTTCCAACAGCAAATGTGTCCACTGGTGCTGCGTCAGCTACAAAGCCTGCGTTTTTGTTTTCTACAGCTACGCCTCCATCTAAGTCACGTAGTGAAACGAATCCTAACCCTAACCTTCCAACAGTAAATGTGACCACTAGTGCTGCGTCAATTACAAAGCCTTCGTTTGTGTTTTCTACAGCTGCGTTAACATCTCAGTCACGTAATGGAGTGAATCCTACCTTTTCAACGACAAATGTATCGACTGGTACTGCACCAACTACAAAACCAGCGTTTGTATTTTCTACAGCTATGTCTCCCTCTCAGTCACGTAGGCAAACGAATCCTACATTTCCAACGACAAATGTATCCACTGGTGCTGCGTCAACTACAAAGCCATCGTTTGGGTTGTCTACAGCTACGCTTCCATCCCGGTCACAATACATTAGCTTATCTATTCACGCAGAGGTTAGATAGACAAAGTAAATATTGTACTTTCATTGCAAGATGAACTTGTAATCCACTTATGCATGAATCAGTATTAATTTATCGATCAAACTTTTAATGAAAAACTACATGATGTTAAGACGACGTTGAAATTGTTTTATTTGGATACGTGCATAATCAAATAATAAATTAAGGTATAACAGAGCGGCACTGACCATGAAATGAGCCTAGCGCCGCAACTCGATCACCGAAGACCTCCAAGTTATTGTCACATTTCAATGCTTCGTAAATTCTCGTGTACCAGTGCTTCACCTTGTAGAATCAGATGTTAAAGAACGCAAATATCGTGGGCTGAGAGCAACCGTAATATACTAAAGTTAATATTATACGCGGTCAATGATATTGCAATGGCAATCTGAAGTCCATTGTTTTTAAAGCGTGTTAAAAGTTAAACTTTTTCATTACTATAATTATAATGATTTTCAAAAAGGACCTTAGGGTTACCTACGTAGTATTAAAAATGGTAAATTCCTATATGATGACAAGACACATTTAAATAACTCTCATTTATTTGCTAAAGATTATTCAGATAAAAATGTCTTTGCGTATAAAAACTTGAATATTGCTGAAAAATTTAATATCATTTCGACTATTATAATCATCGGCTGCTTAATAGCAAAATCTCCGCCTGCCCCAATTTCTTTTGATGCTTTAACTTTTTTTTCTTTATTCCTTGTGTTTCTATAGAATATGATAATTAACAAGCCCATTTAAACACATATACACGTGTGCCTTAATGTACCTTAATTCGAATCTTTTTTTATCTAATGGTATAATCTTTAGCAGTTCTTTAATTGAACTGTTAAAGACGAGTATAATAGCTTAATTGTCGAGAATGATCTTGGCAGCTATATATGTACTTTGTAACACTTGCATGTAAATAAAGTTGCCATGCGTATTGTTTTTTTTGTGTCCCCAAAATATATGTCTCAAGGGTGAACAAGGCCATGGTAAAGAGGTACACTTGATTTAAAGGATAAAAATACTTTTATCCGCCGGAGAAGGCTGAGCTGTTGGTTAACTTTACTTGCAAATGTTCCACATTGGATTAAATAAATCAGTGCCACAGCGCATTGTTTCCTGTTCACAATGTATATAAATTAAACCACTAAAGGGCATCTCCCGGCACTCCTATATCCGATATCAAAATTTTGTGGTTAGCAGCACAGTCTTCTCCACAAAGACTTCCTAATTGCTCCATTTTTTATAACATTTCATCTTCAAAAGATGTTAGATTAAAGTATATGCAGTGGAAAACCGTATTCTGAAACCAAACTGCCGATTCGAAAAAGCACGTTATTTTCTTCCAGGGGCTTTGATAATTGTGAATGCACGGCCCTCTACAGGATTTTACTAAGTGTGGGCAAGATTGAAATTTTAATTAGATGCATTTGTCAGTCACTAGTTTTAAACAGCGATGTTATCTTCCACTTCGTGTGAAGACTGTTAAAAGTTTTGTAATAAATGGAGTTATTGAATATTAAAGCACAATATTCTAGACGTTTCGCACCTTATGAGACCTTGAGCTCGACTAAAAGTAAGAGTCTTTGAAACATTACCGGAACAGCGTCATGTCTCATGATCATGCAAATAAGCTTGTTCTAGAATACACGCCCATATGCGCTGTATGTTGACGAATATATATTTTACACCGGTTGGCTCGACTCGATCCTCTATATGAACCTTCAATTTTATAAAATCTTCGCTTTGACATAATTCAGTTTATTCTGCAAAGTTAACTAAACCTATTATATATAAGTATTATAATTATTATTATATCAAAGGATGTTCCTGACTGCCCAACTGGGCGCATTGCCCAACTTCAAACACGGAACATAAAACTACGTCATACCTGAGACTTTTTATATACAAGGTCCATACAAATTGTTTCCTCGCTAGAACAGCAAACAGTTGAAAGTTGAATGGGAGGTATTGGTACAATGTGTCCAATAAAGACTATCGTCCTAGTTATTGTTTTTAAGTGTGTTTCATCTTATCCAGATGGGGCTCCGTCATCCGCTTGTTTCAACCTGAAGCCATGGCATCTTATTCCAAGTTCGGGTCGATTTGCTGAAACTCAGTCAATTCCAAGTCCGTATACATTCACTGCTAAATGGGACAGGCATATGAGAATGGTTCGTGTTTCTGTCGACGGTGATAGAAATAACCCAATACAAGGTTTTCTCATACAGGCTAGATTGGGAATTTACGAACCCGGTATTGGCAGCTTCATAAACATAACCGAGAATGCTAATGTTAAGTATCTGGACTGCTCACTTTCAGGATCTGAGGTAAATATAAATATAAAAAATATTGAGTTATATTATATAAAAGAAAAAGAAAACATGATTATTTCTCGTTCTCCCAAACTCCCACGCGTGTTTCTATAACTGTATAGAAACACGGAAAATGCGGTTTTCTATTTCTTAATTTAAATTTAGTTCTCACCTGAATCAAGTGTGACTCACGCGGATACGTCCAATAGAGAGAACTTAGTTTTCTACTGGCAACCACCAAAAACAATTACGACAACTAAAAACGTCACTTTTTATGCAACACTGGCCAAAAATAAACATACGTTTTGGGTTATGGAGGAAAGTGATCCGGTAAGCTTGGTCTTGGCCTTTGGTGATACAGAAACCACGATAACAGGATCAAGTATTTCTGTTTCGTCAAGTGAAGGTGTAGAACAAACCACTAAGAAGGTTATGTCCTCGACCACGCCCACAAAAAATGTAAGTGCATTTCATGGCGTAGTAGACCTTTTCAGCTTGCGTGCAAATTATATAGGTACGGTTGTCTATATTGTTTTAAATGTGAAAAAAATAGCAATAAAGCAAACAGCTATAATTATATAAACCCTGATCCATCGAAAATTTATTATCTTCCATGATATCTTGACACTGATAGAAGTAATAACAGTTGAACAATAATAAAAGTATCTCTTCATCACATCAATTTTCTGATTTTGGTTTCTTGATTTTAGAACGGACCAATTCCAGCATCATTCAATATTTCAATGATAAGTATATTGTTGGTAATTGTTTCAAGAATATCCCTGGCAATTTAAATGCATGTAAAGCACAATCATGATTGCAATAATGACAAAAATATATAAAATCATTACAAATCAGTTTTATTAGCTATAAGCAATTTTGCACTAATTCGATCTCATTAGAAAAAATTTTGAAAAAATTCGATATCTTAGAAAAGTGGCAGAGAAGTGGACTAAAAACGTGTTTGCTGGACCGCAGAGCAGAGGGCGAGGTGCCAGGCTACCGCTAAAGCTTTCCTCGAACAAAAACTGAAGGCATATGGCACCCCCAATAATTAACCATGATAAGAAGTGGTCAAATCGCTTTGTTATTGGCTAGAAAAACACGCATTAGCTTGCGATGCGGGTACGGCAAAGAAACTAAAAGGTTATTTAACTTACAAATGAGGTATCTAATGTTTGTGATGTTTTACAACAACTTTTGGCTATAATAAAACTTTAATAATCCTGTATTTATGGGCGGGGTATAAACTTTCTGTATAAACTTACGCTTTTGGGTGGGAAAATTTCACTGGTGAATATTCAAAACAAATATTACTTTAAATTAACTATCGAAGCAATTACTTTTTGAGTGAATTTCGGTGCGACGAACTTAAAAAACTTTTTAAAAACTTGCGGCAGACTTCGGCGAAGTCAGTTTACCAACCTGTGAAACGAAATTAGCTAGCGAGACTGATTTCTAGCTCCGTGCTCCGTACTATTCGCTTTTGCACGAAAAAACGACGCAATATATCGGATCAATTCAATCTTAAATTCTCAATGCAGTAGATTTTAGATACGTGTTTTTTTAAAAGTGGTTTGCTCCGAAATGCATTGCATTGAGTCTGATTCAGTTTGTTATCTTTTTCGTGATTGCATTCAAATTTATACTGGCCGTGTAACGGTTTGCATTCAGGGACTGAGACTGACGTACAAACCGCGTGATTTTGATGTTTGGGGGACTGAAACTGACGTACAAACCGCGTAGGAAGACTGGGGGTTAGGCTTCATTTTTCGCGCGCTTAAAGTATGGAAGTTATCATTCCAGATATATATATATAAATATATAATTATATATAATATATATATATATATATATATATATATATATATATATATATATATATTTATATATATATATACATCAGATGTAACAAACTACATAATTGAATTAATTGTCTGATTGTCTGATTGCTGATCACACAATTTAATGTAGTTTATATACTTTATTGAAATACACACAAATGCGCTAGCCGCGCGGAGGTCTACTATCTAGAACCCGACCAAATGCAAAAATGCTATGGTTCGCATCACAAGCAATAATGAAACAAGAGTATTCACTGTTAGTTATTTTGAAGAACGTAATATCTTCTGGATTTTAAAGGCTTAGCATTTCAAAACTTTTCCCGACCAATGTTACATGAGCAATTTCCAACACCTAGTCATTTAAATTCATTAGGTTCGCCACGCATCTGCTGCTACCCAATCGACTGATTAGGTAGTGCTAATAAACATGACAATTTTTTGTGCATTCTTTTAATATTGGTTGAGATATCGGCAAATGTAATTTAAAATGAAGTTTGACAAATGCGAAAATGTGGTAAAAAATGGCCTATCAAATTGTTTTGATGATGTTGGTATTGAGAAATCATTTGACGGTGCGAATATCATTCGCACGATTCCCAAAAATAAATCATGTACTAATATTCTTGTTTGCATGGTGACATGACTGATAAGTAAACTAGCTTGTATAAGCTAATTTACTAATTTACTTAAATCATGTACTATTCCAAATCTGAATTGCCGCGAGTAGAAAAATTGACTAAAGGCCAAGTAACGATATTTACAACTATATATATAGGCCGCGGTTGTTCCAACTTCGAATCATACGACACATCTGTCTAAGCAATGAAAAACAGTGATTGTTTATCCATTGTCTATACAACGGGCCTGGCTTCCTGCACTATTTATCAACGTCACCGCGCGGTTTATGTTAATTTCCTGCTTAAGTACGCGGATGATGGTCAGGAATTAAAAACAACGAGTTAGACGACCACTCAATTACCCGATTTACTGATTACTGAACACTGATTGACTTAACACTGATTTCAGCAAAAATGGTCGAACTCCGTTAAAAATTTGCCCAACTTTTCTAGATTCAAATGATGATTTATGGAGGCAGAGGCCCCGTACGTAAGATATTACAAGTTATGCAACATTTAAGATCGATTTCTGACTGTTGGTACGCCAAATTGGCCTCCTCAGCGGATGTGGCAGAACATTTCAACTTTCCCTGTGGCCATGCCTTTTCGCAAAAATAAAGCAAACTTACTTGTAGCTAAGTGTTCCCTGCAGTGTTTTTCACTAAAATCGATTTAGTTGTTATATTGCATGCTAGTTCTTAGTTTAATAAGTATATCTCATTTATGTCAATTATCAAGTATACTCGTATTAATTTCATGTGATAGGTTACTATAGTTTGTCTGCTTATCATATTTTAGTTCGAACCGACGCAATATTCTGCTCTTCGATATTACGCTCCACTTCTCACACTTTGATTAATATCAACATGTCTATATCATCATAATCCTTACTATTTTTATATATTTTGTATCTTTTTAATATAAAAAAATAACATTCAAACTGACATTATATTAATCATGCAGTAACTATTTTAGTTCAGTAATCTAGGGGCCTAAAATAAAAGCCATATGGTTTCTGATAGGCTCCTAGCCCATACTTTGTAAATAAAAAAAATATATCATCGCATCTTTATATCATCTAAAAATTGGGCGCACTTATTAAAAAAAAAAGATAAGATAAAAAAATATATATATCATCGCATCTTTATATCATCTAAAAATTGGGCGCACTTATTAAAAAAAAAGATAAGATTGTTAATTAGCTATAGATAGGTGTTATAAACCAACTTCGGAATTAATAAAAAAATTATCAAAAAAATAATTTCCCTTTATTGCACTGGAGTTGACATATATGATGGATGGATTTCACAACAGGCAATTTGAAGAAAACTGTCCAGCATATATATACAAATGAAGAACCAGTTCATTTATTCTAAAAATAATTTTGTATCATCGACATAGCATTCTGTGACTGTGTTATACCCATAGGCAAATGCATTAGATTTGTTGAAAATCGAGGAAGAGGAAGTATATTTCCTGAACAGGTTATAAAAGAGATTAATTATATCAGTCTTTTTTTTCTGCTCTCACAGTCTCACTATTAATCAATCTTGTATGTTCCTAAGTATTTACCCTCTTCAGTTATTCGTAATATATCTACCGCTTTCTCCGCAGTATAAAGCGTAGTTTTTCTGGATTTTGCGTACAAAACAACCCGCGGACTTGTTAACCGCCCAGTCGATTAGAATCCAGGCTGCACAGAAAGAACAAAAGCGAGAAAAAACCCGACCGTAAACCGCGTTTAGCCGCGTATGAAACATCTGATAACAAAATATATCATTATTAACATTTTACCGAAAAACCAAAAATGAGCTGGCGACTTTAAACATTAAATTAACGACGCCGTTAAATAGAGAAAATAGGTAGCAGGCAAAGATATGAATTCGGGCTACCAAGTGATATAGCGGCTCAAGCCATGGAAAAAGGTTTCGATGACTGTTGTGGAATGGAGGTTTCGATGACTATCGTAGAATGGTCGTTTCTTTTATAATCATGTAAAGGTTAGCTTCCAAGATCACTGGTGACCGACCATTCTTTATGAGGGAAGTTTGGGTATAAAATGGCGATGAACCTCCATCTTGTACGTGGCGCCGAAGAAGAAGAAAAAATTTTGCGCTCTTGAGCACTCGAAAGAAACGGCCTTTTAATTGTCTTATCTATTTTCTTTCAACGGTCTGTTTTTTACTATTCCGTCGAAAACAACACAACGTTTGTACATACAGTCATGCATGGCCGATGACGGATTTGATTGACATTGTTTAAAGTTACACTCGTAATTCTCCATCATGACGGCCATGACGGTACAAATTAAATACATCATTTTTATAAAAGAAATTATAGGTTCCAAAGATGGCGGTCACGTCGTCTCTACGCTCCCATTGGAGTACCCTTTTTCCATTTAGGTGTTGAATTATCAATATAAATCGTTTATAGGGTTCGATAATCGATATAGCTTTCCACCATCTGTCCCTGAATCATAACTAATGAGGATTATCACATAAGATCTTAACTACGATTAATCAGGCACTATTAAAATGAGAGGTAAAAAAACAATCCGGTAAAACAAGGATGTATCGAAGTTACTTTAACAAGCGAGATTGGCCTAACCACATGATACCTTTGGAATTTTCACAAACAGTGGAGTTTAATTACCATGCCGATAGGTAGAATTAAACGCAGTTGCGTCGTGGCGTTAAAAGAAATATGCAGTTCACACGAAGGTGTACTGTTCCAAAACTTAAATAACTTGATTATTGGCATGAGCATTCGATCATTGCTATTCACTGACTTAACACTCGCTCAGCAGAAGCGCAGGACGGCCCCTTGGTAGAATTCTGTTGATTAATTAGCCAATCACCTCGGGAATGCACAGGACTGACAAAATACTGGCTTATAACGTGGGAAGTCCTTAAATTGGCAAAGCGGACAGTCGATATCACCACCTTGCGAACTCTAACTGTGTGGCGCATATACTATAAGTTCTGTACATCGAATTTAAAGGAAAGACATAGCAAAAATAATGGCATTTGTCGGAGGACTGTTGCTCGTCTTACAAGTTTTTGGAACAGGAGGGAGCTTACTGTATGTATAATCAAATATTTAACTGCTACTTATCGCTTAAGAGTTTGACGTGTATAGAAAAATATTTTAAATTCCCGCTAATCTTATTCAAGCTAGGAAGTCTAAGAAACATTTTGAACCAAAAATCGTGGGAGAAATGGGCCTATGATCGCGGGACATGAAAAAAAACGAACGTGAAGATAATTCAATAACATCGACGTATAGTATCTGACGTATATGCAATATAAGTGCTTTAATAAGGCCTGCTCTTGACAGACGTTAAGCTACTTCTAAAGTGCAGAAAACTTGGAATTAAAGTCTATTTTTGATCGAGAGCTGTTGAATAATATTTTGCAGGTTGCATTATGATGATTACACCGGAATAAACCATCTTATCTGCTATTGTTTTTCAATTGCGCTGCATGTATCACGTCGGGGTTATTCTAGATGATCTACGGTTCTTGCATTTATTTACCGATGCGAAGTCGAAAACCATTTTAATCATGTTTAACTACCCAAATACGCGTGTTATGCAAATTTGTGTCCTTAAATAACCGATTAGTTAATAGAATTTGTTAATACGACCAGTCAATGAAGAGGACATGTCGCCTTTCGTTTTTTTGTTAATACGGTTTCACGCAAAGGCTCGACATTGAAACGCATTGTCTTTCATTAATTTGTTGATGAGCGGTAACTCTCTGCCGATGCGTTTCTACTTGGCGTGAGACTTTTTGCTGAGGAAGGTCATCGTTGGGGAAAGTATAGCGAGTTCAGTGTCAAGTTAAAATTCCGAGTTGTTCCCTGTTCATTATAACATTCCTGTGCAATTTTACTTCATTATCGCTTCCAGACTTTTTGCTTTTTCTACCGCGAGCCCAACAAACTTTTCAGTTAACTGTTTTTCGTCAGGTGGACGAAATTCGCGTCGGTCGGGATGGAACAGGCGCCAGTCGAAATGAACACCACTGTTTGCGCTCAACTACCCGGCTTTGTGACAGAGCAGCGGGAAATATGCGAGTCGAAACCATTGGTTGTTCCCAGTATCAGAAAGGGAGTGTTACTGGCAATGAAGGAGTGTAAGAAACAGTTGAGTAAAGAACGATGGGATTGCGCAACGATGACTGAAGCAACAGCTTTGAAGGGATTGCTCGCCATACGTAAGTTTGAACTAGCCCGGGTTCATTTCAATTTATATCTTTACGGTCATACTGTCATGTAAATTGCCTTCCCGAAGCTCAGATGATTCACATTAGATGATTACGCCATAAAAAATACCAAGTTACCCTTAATTTGGGTCGATAACGATCTACGATCAGTTAAACGTATAGCATAAGGTAAATATTTGATGACAAATCCGCTTTCTAGTTTTAAGAGGGAGGTATAGCGGTAGAATTATTGAACGAGCGAGGCACTCCCATCGTGAAATAAAGCATTTAAATTTAAACGAGATTTCAATGAAATGGCCTTGAGCCGGTTTTAATCGACTAATCGTTTAAATGAAGTTATTGACATATTGCGAAATGAGGGTAAATTTTTTGTTACCGCACCAAAATTTTCCAATCTCACTCATGCTGACAGTTTTTATTAAACTTTTGCAACTGACGCCAGTGTTTTATTCGATTGCTTCGGAAGAAAATCTCATAAAATTCATGTGATTTGAGGCATCGTAGCAACCATAGCTGAGATGCGTGAAAATTATATATGGTGGTGATGAAACCATTGTACTATTTAGGCACAATATACTGACTGATAAATATTTCACGGACATGATCACGCACTGATACACTGATGACTGAATCATGAATAAATGAAGGCAGTTACACAACGAACAGCTCCAAATGTATGACTTTGTTTTGATATCTAGAGGGTTTTCTCACGCCTTTACTATTAGCTGTTGGGAAAGGCATTAAAATACCCAGATAATGATTTATTATCATCATCCTCTTCTTCTTTCTAAATTGGCGGTGAATAACTAATCAGCGCATAGTCCATTAATCTGGTGTCTTAACTTAAGCCTCGTGAGGTGTTAAAACGCTCTAAAGGCTAAAGCGTTTACGATATTGCAAATTATTTTTTTCAACGTAATTACAAGACAGTGCTTTCTTCAAAATCTAACTAGTTATAGTCGACCTAGTTAATAAAGCAAGCCACATACTAACCACCCTATAGATTATGGCTTATCTCGTTAAAATGTTGCGATTTCAAAATCAGGTTAATGAATTTATTAGGATGCACCCTTTCTAATTCTGACCCGGTTCTGAACGCCGCTAGCAAAAATTCCTGACAAGTATAATGGTTTCTTAGTCCTCGTTGATGGAGATTTTTTAGCCACTCCAATTGTTGAAAAATGTTTATCTTCTGGGGAGAAATCCGCAGACGAAACGGAAAGCCCCACTTAATCGTACTTTCGATCGCGGTTGTTAAATTTTCGCCAGGGGCGACGAACAGCTCGACTGGTTTAGACCATAAACCAGACAAACATGTATTTTTTCCGACGAACAGAGCATTTTATGCCGCTCTCATTCATCAAAAATTAATTCCTGTTCCTTGGTTGGACACCACAATCTCAACTAATCACGATATAGCGTAATAGCGGGGAAATCAGGTAATTGTGCCATATGATATAATGGTATGGGAGTTTACGTTAATTTAGATTCTCCTGTCCAAACGAGAAAACCAAACCAGACCTATTAGTTGCATGCAATTGTCATTTGAAAAACTGGGAAGAACCAATTAACATAGATTAGTAAAGAATTCACCCGTGAATTCACTGACGGTATAGTAAGGCCCGCGAAGTGGCAGCACAACGTTATACTGACAAATCATATGACAGTAATTTTTCATGAACGCTTTGCATGAAATCTTGTTAAGTTCCTGCGAGCTTTCGGAGAGAGCAGCTTGTATCCAACAGACCCCAGCTGTGAAGAGGTTGGACGGCTTGTATAAAGAATAGCTGTCCCAACATTCAACAAATATTCGAGTAAGCCAATATGCAAAACGCGCAGAATACCTCCTCGACGACCTCCACGTGATTCAAAACACCCTCTTACAGAGCATGACTTAGTCGTAAGATGACCTGACCTCAGAATAAATTATGAAAAGTATATATAGTCGGATCAGGTGGTCAGTTCGAGTATTTCATGCAGCTCGTATTTAACAGCAGCTGGAAATTATTGAATGCTTATTTGTATGTACTCCTAGTTCAACCACTGTTTCCCATATGTTCCGATTTTTTGTGTGGAAATCCTAAATGTTTATCTTGATAACTTGATTCAAATCTGCGATAAATTATATTTCATCACCCGGCACCAAATCTATAATAGGATCAATTTTTAATGATGAATGTTATCGCACCTATTTAATCTTAGAAATATCCTCGTTCTTCGATACCAAAATCCGAAATCCGGGAAAAAAACGCTTCAAAAATAATGGAACGGTTGCGTGGATTAGTCCATATACCGCATGATAAGGCAAAAATGATGAGATCATGAAGTTATTTTCAAATGGTTTTCAAGCAAGCATTCAAAACGCGCGTGCTTTTCGTTCTCGTACCTTTCTCGTTTTTTCGTTTTCGTGACGATATTATCACTGTCAATCAATTCAAGTAATTCAAGTTATTCCAGATTTAGTCTTACATATAATCACAGTCAACTGTGCATGATATTATGTTGCAATATGTTTTTCCTATAACCTCTTTGGATTCCACCCCCTCGTAGAAATCAGCACTTTGTTGATGGACTAGAATGCTTAAATCAAATACTTGTGTACCAACCATATATTGACGAGAAACGTCGCTTTATAGTACGAGGGCAGTGGTGGAAACCAGAGGTTGGATAGTTTAAATAGTCGAATTTCTATGCTGAAGTTTCCTACACAATCTGTTATCTGTTGTGCACAAGTGGAATTTTTTGATGGAAGCCGTGCACAGAGTATGCATAACATCATTTCATGATCAATGTCCTATGGCTATAGTTTTAAATACGGCAACTTTTCTACCACGGCACAGCTGTTCATTTACTAGCAAGGCCGTTGCTGAAGTGAGATCACACGAGCAAGAATTATTATCATCTATGTATAAACACAAAAATCTAGTGCACAAAATATGTATGTACTGTGTTTTTCAATTAGTCTCGCACAATTGAGGTGGTTTTTGTTGAAAGATCACACTCAAACGGAAAAATTTCATACTGTCAATCAGCCATTCCGAGTCATCTAACAATCGAAACTCAAAGTTCAGCAACTGATGTATTTTTATAGTTGAGTTTATACGGAAGTGAAAATAAATTTAATTTACTCGTAAAGTGATTTATTGTATCAACTCAAACGACGCCAAGCGTTTTATGCAACTGTTGATATGAATCTTCATTTAATTACGTACGTACATTAATTAGATAAATTCTCTATAGTCTAGAATTGAGAAAATTTCAGTAACTATATAGTTTCTACTATTGCATATTAATGCCAGTCTACTTTTGAAAGTATACGATAACGCCCAAGAAGATTCCTGACTTTGGTAGTTATGTTTCCGAGGACGACTAATTTTCGTATAAATACTGCATGAGTAGTCCGGCATATGCATCCACAGCTTAAATAAATTTCACCTCTTGCAATTACAGCCGCGTTCGCCGCGACGCTTTTCGTTCAATGAAATGTGTAGATTTTAATTATATACAAGCATTTGCAGCGAGCTTGAAAGTTGGCTTTTTCCGAGAAGTGAAAGAAGGCCTTTTACCATACAAAAATCTTCTCTTTCAACAGCAAGTAAAGAAACTGCCTTCGTGTACGCGTTAACTTCAGCCGCTGTGGCTTACGCTGTCACCAAGTCGTGTACAGCCGGAGACTTACCAGATTGCGCATGTCAAAAGAAGCCAGTTCACAAATATTATGGAAAACGATTGAAAGCACGTTGTGATGAAAACATTCAATACGGTATGATGTTCGCAGAACTTTTCGTTGACGCACCGGATAATGACAAGCGAGCAAGATTGAAAACAGTTCGTCGCAGCGGTCAGAACTTAGTGAATCTTCACAACTCCAGGGCAGGAAGAAAGGTAATGATTAGCTATATACTTTCATTTGTTGGGACCTGTATTAATTCGCTGTGGCAATGTCAGACTGCTATAAAGCGCACACAAATAACAGTTGGCGATTGCGCTGTGATCACCTGAAAATAAAGTTATTAAAGTGTGTTTTTTCTTAAATAAATTTTTCATATCGGTCTTCAACTGTCGATGATTGTCGTTGATCATTGAAGCCTTTGATTTTTGTATAAACCTCTTCGATCGTCACAGGCCACAAACAATACCTTGTCGACCTTTCTAAGGCTGCTTCTTATATAGCTTACCGACTGTCGACGACGCCTATTGTCGCTGACCACTAAAGCATGAAGTGCTTTAAGTGTTATCTGCATTTATAAATCTCCTTGGTCACGGCTACCAACAATACATCGCCGACAATCGGTGATTATGAAGATTGAACCAGCACTAGCTAAAGACCTAATGTTGCGAATTACAACATTGCAGTTCAACATTGCATCGCTCGGGCTAAAATGAGTTCAGAGTCGGTCCAAAACCACATCTATGCCCGCAAACATCAACTCTATTGTTATATTATGACAATCTTCTTCCCCTTAACTTTATATATTCAGATTAAACATGCGATTTATAATGCCTTAATTCAGACGGAGTATATGCTAATGTTTTAAGCGCTGACATTTTGATTGAAGACAATTTAATGCTAATATGTTATCACCTTTTTTATCAGAGAAAGGGCGCTTAGACGATTATTTCAACACAGCAACAGATATCTAGCGATTAATTAATTTATTTAATAAAGTATCACAATTTTTTTTTAAAGTTCGTTAGCAGCTGCAAAGGCATGCAGTTTAAGGCATGGAAATGTAATTGAGACGTGGAATTTCTCTCTTTAACCAATTATCGTGTGTTCGTTTTTAAGAGGTTATCTAAACAAAATAAAGCAAGCAAATCGCTGGCGGATATTGAATATTTACTAATCCTAATTAAAAGCTGTAAACCCGACAGTCAATTATTTTAATACGACGCACGCGGTATATAAAATTTAAAAATCCCGATCTAAATTAAAACAACTCCGTCATATACATTTACATGCTAAAGGTATTTCATAGGGCTTGCCCTTCGGGAAGGCTTTCTATGCCTATGGTATTCCTGCACACGCCGGACACACACGCAGCGATTTTGGTCAGCGCAATTTATTTAATTTAAATGAAGTTAAATGCGCGTGTTAAATGATCTTGGACTTGGACGCCGCGCTTTTAATACAATATATTGAACACATAAATCACTTGAGTAAAATCGTAGCACGGCGCTGGCTTGGTGCTCATTTCACTCGTCGCTTCAATACAACCATATTATGACAAAGATACCGTCATACATGCAAGTGCATGTCGGTGCTAGTTAGTATACGTGATTTGAATATGATCAAGTGCAATCAATATACACGGATCCATGCAACTGTCGAGATTGATTTATGTTTTCCAGTACAAAATGCAATCTATAGCTAAATAACGTAAAAAAACCAGCTAATAATAATACCGAAAGTATTCCGGCCTTCTGTAACTTTTGACTAAAAAAGCAGTTTGTTAGTAAAAACTTCCATTCATAATATAGAAACGAGCACTTTGAGCACTTATACTTGTGCCTCTCAATATACTGACGAAAAGTCATTATACACACATTAACTTAATTTTGGGCAGTTCGATGAGTTCTTTTTTGAATTTCAGAATTCAGAGTGCTTGAAACTCGTTTTAGAAACTTTACAAAACACTGGTGGCGAGAGGTGGCGGCGTGTTCACTTTAAGGGCATAACTTCATGTTACACCTCGCACGTTGCAGCCAAATTTCATGCACGATGCTCAAGATATGTGAACATCTTGATGCTGGGTTTAGCGTTCTGTAAAGACCAACAACACTGTCCGCGCACTGATAAACGTACGCGGATATGTGCCCACAATTCATGTTTATATGAAATAGCCAGTGCAGACAGACAGTACCACTGATATGCTGTTGAACTTGACCTTGATTTGGGGAAGAAAATGGAATGTGAGCAATCCAGATTTAGATCATAATATCTTATAATTCTTCGGGTTCGTCTGACTGAAGGACCTTTTTAGGTTATAAGTTACGCATTTTCACAGCGGTCGACCGCGCAAATTTGCGACAGGTGGATAGGCTTGACGCGTTTCCTTCTAAAAATATATATCATCAAAACAAGCGCGTTACTCCCATGGTATAGGCGAAACAATTAATATCCCACAAAGCACACAGCAAGTTGTTTAAACTACAACAGCGTAAGCCTGATCGGATTTGCATTCCCAACTGTGTGTTTGATTATTTGTATTACGTATTTAACCCCATGCTGGAATGGGTGGCATGCAACCCAACGATCCGAAAACGGAGCAAGATGTGAAATAATGTCTGATGAGCCGCTGCATGTCTTTGTTATACGAGTATAATTAATTGCAAGAAGTTCTGCAAGTTCCACTAGAGGCTAATAGACTATTAGAGCCTTCAAGAACGAAGAACCATGCGCATGCAGCCAAAAATTTAGATTTCGTTGCACGTGAGTCAAAATTGAAAAATACATTCTTGGCTGAAAATTTGGAATGGTTGTTATAAGCCATTATAGTATTAAACAGAACGTCGCGAAGACATGCGGGATCCCGATAGCATGCAGAAAAACTGGACGTACCGTGATTAAAAAATAAATATTTGAACAAACACAAAAACCATAAAAAAAACTAATTGGTGTAGAAGTATAATAAAGGTATGCAAGTATGAAAAATATCTTCCTGATTTCTCACCAAAGCCCGCATGGAGTCACTGAGAAACATCTTGCATGCTTTTCCCAATTTTGGGTCAAAGACAACACTAAGCGAGAATATCGTTGACGGTTGACCAGCCTCAGGGTAAATTATTATTGATTCAAGGGAAGCTTGGGAACTATTTTGTTTTTTGGCTAACGTCGGCGGCACCTGAAAGGATCTCCTAAAAAGCTGCGCTTTGCACGGAAGATTCCGCCTAATAGGAAACAGCCTAGGTTTATGTTTTACAACACATCTGGGGACAGAGCATTGGTAAATCCTCTTACAAGGAAACATTTCTTAGGAGTTTTCAGACGTGGAACATTTCATGTACTGAAGCTAATGTTAATCAGCTGAAGTCTTTACTTATATGTCCGCGCGCAAAATACCGCCTATAGTGGAGAACAGGCTTTAATAATTTGCATTCGATTCGGTACATGAAAAGGTCGAAAAGGAGATTATTGTTGCAGGTGCAGACAAGTGATCGTTTATAGGATGTAAACAACTTCAGAATTTGTACATTTTTTTAAGCAAAATAGTTTTATCGACCAAATTAAACGCCATGGAAAAGTCAAGCATCAGAATTTCTTCAGAATTTCATTCATCCCTAGCTGAACAACAACAATATCCTTTTCTATACATTCTCACTAAAACAAAACGGGTATCAATGTTTTTATATTGAGGTAATTGAGTAACTGCCCCATGCAAGTTCCACGAGACAGGACAATTTGAGACTAAACGATTGAATTTCTTTAGGCTGTGCTTGCATCGGTGAAAACCCGCTGTCGTTGTTACGGTTTATCGCAAGGCTGTGCTATGCGCTCTTGCTGGAAGGTACTACCGAAATTTGAGGAAGTCGGTAAAATGTTGAAGAAACAGTACGAGAACGCTGCGGAGGTAATATACGCAAGAAGGAAGCGCAAATTAAAGAGAAAGGCGAACAGAAAACTTCGACTCGGCGAAAACGAGCTCGTCTACATGAAACGCTCGCCGAATTATTGCCGTTCAAATCCACGCATTGGAATTTCGGGAACGTCTGGGAGAGAATGTCAGAGAGATTCCGGGGAGTCTATGAACAGCTGTGCGTTATTGTGCTGTGGCCATGGGTATAACACGCAGATCACACGTGAGAAACGGTTTTGCAATTGCCGTTTTCGCTGGTGTTGTCGCGTGCATTGCGACACATGCGAGCATGTTTACGATAGGTATACTTGTAAATAGAATGGTAAATAGTGAAGAGTTGGTACTTGACATTCATTGTAACACTGTACAGAGTTGCAAATAAGCTGCGGGTATGCGGGTATACCACCAAATTTCGCTACATTCGAGGAAGGTTTACGCATTTAATAGTAAAAGTAGAAAGTACAAAAATTAGGTAGTATATACCTATAGTTCGCCTACAAAATCATAGCTGCCCCATGCAGCTGTAGGTGGCTAACCAAGAAACGTTTTCTAGCTCTTTATAGAGAGCTAAAGATAGACATCAAGAGCAATAGTATCATAGCCATTTAGTTTTGAGATCTTCATCAGTATAATTTGTTATTCTCCCAGTGGAACGTTGAAACGTTTTGCGACTTTGTCATTGAGTGTGAGTATAGTTTCAGAATTTATATCTGATTGTGTATCTAATCTTTTATTGAATAAAATTTAATATTAAACTATGTAATACACTCCTATTCAATGGGAGTATAATAGGGGTTAATAACTACAACCCAGACTGAATCTTTACCCTAGCTATTTAGAGCTTGAATTTTGAATATCGAACATCTTACCATCCGGGGGGTTGCAGCCTTTCCAAATTGCGCAGAAATTACGCCCTAATTTACTCAAGAGTCATGCAGGTGAAATTACTCGTCGGTCCCCAAAATTTAAACATAAAAAAATTAAAATTTTACTAAGTCTTGAATTTGACACATAAATTCTCAGCTAAATTTACTCTACTATGGATCCGGCAACACATTTTGGTGATTTAAACGGCAAATAGCATTGCTGATAGCTACCATTTAATCCGTAGTCCCCGCTAACTCGAAATATAGTGATGTGAGTGGTTTGCGGAAAAATTCGTCGCGAAAAAGTAGAATCGCTTCCTACTTTTTATCTTTTCGCGCGAACAAATTCACCTAGTGGAGAACAGACTTAACTCGAACTCCTAACTAACTCGAACTAAATCAAATTCCTCTTGGATTTCGTAATCTTCTTTATAGTAATTTACTCCGCCTAACTCGAACTCGCTTAACTCGAACTCCTCGCTAACTCAAACTAAATATAGTTGTCGATGGCCTCATTTTTTGGCGTTTTTTTGGTGTACTTTTATTATTATCCGCGCTATTTCGGTTGTTAGCGCCAGTGTGTGGAATCCTTTATCGGACTTATTTAGTTGTCGTCTTGTCGATCACAAATCGCTAGTCTGTGGAGGCCCTTAAAGGCCATTATTGTTGAAAGTTATATGCAAATTAGTTTATATGCAAATCACCATGTCGGAAATTTCTGGTAGTGGTAACAGGGCCTTAAAGAATCAGTATTTCATAATTATATCAAGCAGGTTTTTCAGTTTATGAAGTAAACGCATGAACTGCGGCAATCCAATATACGTAAATATAGACGTAACCTATAACACCAACCCCGGTTAACTCGAGCCCCCGGTAACTCGAACAATTTTTCTTTACCCTTGGGAGTTCGAGCTAGCGGGAGAATACTGTACATGCAGGCACATTACGTCTGTTTTTCAGCGGCCAAATCTTATTTCACTAGTCTTAGCACTTCATGAGTGCATGTAACTCATACTTGTTTTCTTTCATTAACAATTTTAAAGGAAACAGCTCCGTAAGAACGGAGCACAAAATGTTTAAGAGATACAAACGACTACACATGCAGTCATGCACCGTTAGATTCGTCACGCGACTTTTGAACCTTGAATAGTACTAGATTTCTCTTTGCGGGACTGTAAGACGCTTATGCTTTGCTTTGCTAGGCATTTTTATATTTAACGCGGGTCCGACTGATATTCGGAGAAAATGAACATCACAGCCGAGTGTCCGAGGCTTGTTTACTTATCGCTATCCTCAAGCAACTAAAACTGCAAGTCATACGAGTGTGTGTTTACAAAGGCTCGTTGGACATTGAGATTCAAAAGGAAAGGAAATTAATTACCTTTTATGGAACGGAGTCGACTGCATGCCCAGTCTTATCTATCTCTTTCAGCAAGGTAAAGGCACCATAATTGATCCCCTCATGCAGGAGCCGATGTATGTTACATTATAAATAAAACTGATATCATTCCGTTTAGAATAATAATCCTGCCATATAAGAGTATTTAAATATTTCGGATCGTAACTACTGAGATCGCACAGATATTCGTTGTGACAGAGCTCTATACTTGTGTGCATATTTCTTCTCTCGTATTTTCAGTAGAAATACAAAAGGAAAGTATTGTTACCCTCATGAGAGAATGACATTCAGGCTTCAGAAACGACATGTCAAAACTCATCCTCTTTCCTCATGGAATGAGAAAACGTCTCGACATGCACTCAGGCTGGTGGGACTTACTTTAGGTTTTGTTAATGATGCAAATGCAGATAATATAATTGTATGTCTGCATGTCTGTGTTAATGTTCAGGGTTTTTTGAAGAAAGGTCTTAAATTCCAGATACAAGTAAAAGTCACTGCTGTTCAGCAGGTGATTGGTAGAGGGGAGAGGAAGGAGGATGGGGGGGGGGGCTGCGGGCAAAAGAAGGGCTGCCATATCTTCGCTGTGGGATGAGTGCATGCTCAAAAAAAATTTTTTGTATCAAGAAATTCCACTGAGATAACTCAATGACTAGAATTTTCTGGAGCATCTCTTTTTCCGTTCCCCAAAACACTCCTTCTTACATGATTGGGATAATTTTTCGACAGTATATATAAATAAATGGTATAGTGTGATGGCACATGAAAAACACTGCAATATAGACGCTTCGGTTGAATAATAAAGAATAGAAGTATATTGATCTTGAACTCATAAACATGCAAGAACATACTAGATATCTGACGCGCATCTTCAAGTGGTACTCAATGGCAAGCTGGAAATGCGCAGTACGTGCATATGAATGCAGCAAAATTAAGCCCTATATGAATATGCAAAATATATGAAGTAGCTATACATCTTCGCCACTTGTGTAAAAATAATTTTGACTTTTGTTGGAATACACGTCAACATTTTGCAGAATGTTAACTGACGTATATCTCTGCATGGCCTTCAAAGAACCTAGAGATTGTAGAGTATATATATTTCGACATATGATTTATAAAATGACAGGTATATATTCTGACAGGCAATGTGCCAATGTAATATATAATTCGATAAACCCGCGAATATATCCGAGTTAGCTGTATGTGTACAAAAGCCAATTGTTTTCAGTAAAAAAGTCATAAATGTATAAGAAAACGTGAATTGTCTGCGAAAATCCACATTTGCACAAGAAAGGCGACGAAACGGACAAGTGCATCACGGAGTCGGACCATCTGCCCCAAAAGTTTTGTTCTTCGAAAAGCCAATCATGCGAAGCGACGAAGTCGTGACTTGTAAATTTAGCCTGTCAACTTTATGTTTGTATAAGTATCTCATTGATTTCATAGTCAGTGACGGATCAGATGTTCACCTGTTTTCATTTTCGAACATCAGTTGTGTCTTGAACTTGAGGAAGGAAAGTCAGAAGATTCGAGTGCGAACAAGGAAACTATAACCGCGTTGATACCCTGAGAATTATCACATGAAGGTAAATGTTCTTTACTTCTTTTTATGTATTTTTTCCTCCTTCCTCCACGAAATGTCAAAGAGTATTCCAAGTAGGTCAGAGTCAAGGGATTTAACAACTGTGCTTCGGCGGAAGCGTTCGAGCTGTGAGTCTAGCTTTAGCCGTGCTGGGTATATTGCGGTCGTATATTTAATACTATTTATATTGAGTTATTTACTGCAAGATATACGCCCATGGATTCACTTGCAAAGATCTTTAATATAGTTTTACTTTAGTATAATTATATATACTGATATATAAATTTCTTTTGACATTTTAAGCGAGCGTGACAGTTGCGGCAAAAAAAATGAGGCAAGCTACGATCATCCTCCTGTGCGTCACAGCCATTTGCAGTTACTACAGAACTCAAATCAACGCACAAAGTGAGTAACAACTGGACCTTTATTATAGCTTTTTTGGTAATTATATATATCAGATCAACATTATAAATAAATTCTGATCAAAAATTGAATTTCTTTATATCAATATTGCCCACCGAATTAGTTCAGTATGCACATGCATGTGTGGCGACAGTTGCATGGGTCTCTAATATTTTTGGGCGTGCAAATTTATTTTGCTTTCTTAGAAGGGATCATTTTCGTTATAACTTTATTTTTCAAGCCTTTTGAGCCTGTTCCTTTGGTTTTACATGTTTGTTGAAAGCTTTAAACAAAACAAACTATTACCTTAGCACCTCATGTACTCATGTACTCATGCATGCAATGCAAAAACTCTAGCGACAGGCAGAAACATCGATGATAAAACTTTGTGCATGCATATACGTTGTGAAGATTGATAATTATTACTGCAATTGGCATTTAGCTCAACGTTTAATTAAAAGACCCGTGACTAGACCTCTGTTACTTCATTTGTCTAAATATTGGTTTCCTATATAGGCAAAAATTAATTCGCAGTTTGGCTAACATTACTGTAATGTATATATATATGTACAGTAGATTGGTTTAAAGGATCCGGTCTATATAACTATACTGTCTTGAGTGCATGTTTTTTCAGGCTTTTCTTTGAATCTTATCTTGATCTTGATCGCGGGTAGAAATATGTCTTACTCTTGGTATTCCCTCATATATAGTTATTCCACCTATTACTTCTTAAAACGTGTCAGGTAATGCTGGAGTACACAGTTAACCTCTGACTATATTATCGCGCAATAATCGGATCATCTACTTGGAAAGCATGTCTGAGTCCCAAGCGTTAAAGAAGGTTTGACAGCCGGAATGATTGCATAGTTATAGCGCTATACCGACCGCCACACCCATTCCTCTGCGATATATTTTCCAGCTGCATGACATTGTGCGTGCATGCATATAATTATATAGATTATTGAAATAAATGAAATTTAATTGCATTTGTTATTGTTTTTTACTTAGACTAATCTTATATACATATGACTTTTTTGAATTTACGAATTTTCAGTAGCATGCATGATGCATTTACTCATGCGTGTACGAAGACCTATATACTTCATGCTGTTTCGTGTTCAAATTTCGGAAAGACTGCGTGCTTGCTTTTATAAACTAAGAAGTGTCGCGAGAATTTAATCTAACCAAAATGTGAAGACTCAGTCGTTACACAGAGATGACAGTCGCTTCAAGTGATGGCATAAAAGTTTTTTTTTCATTTTTCTCATAACCGCATGCATTTGTATCTGCATTCGTGACTCACACTTTAGTTTTTAGACTGGTATATTATGATTCATGTGTCAGTATATCCATGTACTATTTTTTTCATTTTTTTCTACGTGTATAATTTCTCTGAAATACGCGTGCATTGTAGTTTTGAATTTTCTATAATTAAAACATTCGCCATAGTAATTAGTCTGTTATGCCTGTTTTCCTCTAGCGATATTTTTCGCGCGAAGCGAATTTATTCCTTTGTATTTGAGCAATTCGTTCCAGATGGTTGCAGGAGAGAGCTCTGAAACAAAAGTAAAATGTCACTTCGCGCGAAAATTATCGCTAGTGGAAAACCGGCTTTATACACACTTTTTGGCCATTTGCGTGTCAGAGGCTTGTGCATGTCATGACCGTATTTAGGTGCATGAGGGCGCAGTTTTTGATATTTGCATGTGAAGTATTTATTGCACCTGCATGCATGGTGCAATACGAAACTCACGCCATGCACGACCGGCCGATAAATTCATTCATGATTGTGAGTTAAAAGTTTACTTTACAAAGTTTTAAAAGCCAAACAGAAAGGTTATGTTATTCGATCCATCGACTTCTGCAAAATTTGAATGATTTTAAGATTAATCGGTTTCTGCATAGTGAACAGGTGTTCCATGCAAGTTTTTTCGCGATGTTACGAAATTTAACTATGCAATTTGAGCCATGTAAAACACCCGAAGTTCTTCCAATGCGGAAAAAGCAGTTTTTACTGACTAATTTTATGTGGAAGTCATTTTAAAATGGCTCACAACATCACCCTGGCTTGCATGATTAATAATACTTTATATAATAATGATGATTTTTTTGTTTCATATATATTATTTATGTGCTAGTATAGTAGGAAGGTATTAACCTAAGAAAATTTATAATATGAAAATGTAAATAGTTTTTCGGCATTCCAAATCGTAAAAATACTAAAAACACTGTATTATATATAATAGATTAGACAATATGAATGGAAAAGAACCGATGAAAAAAATGTCACATATAATCGAGATGTTAGCCTTTCAACTTCTGCGTGTTTATAACACGTTAATTTTTTAGATTGTATTGAGTGCGAAAGCAAGACTCTATTTTGCCGAGATAAGAAGAAAAATTCTCTGAAAGAGCTCTTAGCAGATGTAAACGACACATTTATCTCGACAGTTAGACGGTTAGTGTGATTTATTGGTGGGACTGATTTAACAAGGTTAAGAAGCCGACTACTATGGTCGAATATATACGTCCATGCGAGTGCTGACATGTAAAAAAGCTAAAACACCGTAAATGCGTTTGTTATCATTCGTTAAGCTTCTGTTATTTATGCCTGGGGATCGAGCTTTTGTAACGAAAGCACACACGTTTAGTACCGATTTTTGCCATTTGAAATTGCAGCAGAAAACGTTTGAAAGGTACAACTATATATAATACTTTCAACTGTATATATAGTTTCTTTGGATGAATAGGCTAAGGGGCAGCTGTGAACTACATGCACAATCGGCTTTCTTCCTAGCATTCAAACCCCGCATACAAGTATTGCTGCGTCAGTTCCAATCATGGATATATTATATAAAGTTAGAGAATGGTGGGCAACGTCATTGTCCATTGCATGCGGGGCGCCTGAATCATGGGGGAAGCGGGAGCAGCTGCCCTTTGCTTACAATACAGCTCCCACTGCCCTTTGCTTATGGGGGTGAGCGGGGCAGCCCTGTGTCCTTTGCTATATACCATCAGTACCATGTAACTAGTAGCAATATACATTCAACATTTAATATTGATCCCCATAGTACTCCCCGCATTAAAAACTAACAGATAATATTATTGAAAATGCGTTCTCCCGTGGAATTGCATGCAAGTTCACATGTACTTGTAAAGTTTTCACTTCGTGTGATTGCTAATTAAGGTAAAATGCATGTGCCTTTTTTTAAAATTCTGCCCCTGCATGGTTTTAAAATTGGTAGCCATGCACTGGAGAGCCCACATTCAAGAAGCAACTCTATTGCTCATTTTAACGTTGGGCCATTTAGGTTGGTTGTGGATAAGAATAATATCTTGCTTTCTAAAGAAGATCTTAAAATACTGGTAAAAAAATTCTCTTCCCTGCATTTCTTGTAAGTATAATTAAGATGGTATGTAAACCAAAATTAAATCTTCCGTTTGGATGAACTTATTTTATAACGCTATAATTTTATTCGACGATATCAGTTGTCCAGCTGATCTGGGTATAAAAATCAAACAATCAGAAGCCAGATCTTCGACAAAACTGAATGATCATTTCCTTCATTTCATATGACTTCGACACTCGAAAATATCAAGTAATTTTATTATATTTAGGCGAAAACACGCTTATTTTTTTCCAACTGTGAATTAGAATTTAAATTTCTCGCCTTTTATACTATTAGTTTGAAGAATAAGGACAAATAACGCCAGGCGTATGATAACTTAGCTTTGTCGAGGCGCCTTATGATGTCATGATCTCAGATCAACTGGGTATAATGAGGATCTTAAGTTAAGGGATCTTAAGGGGTAGCGACTTGTGTATCTATGTATAATATTTGCTTATATAATTTATAGAGATTTGCGAGGTAATTCAATACCAGACTTGGAAGCGTTCTCTAGTAATTTGAGTACGCTTAAGGAACTGGAAGAAATGTAAATATATATTTATCTACAGCATGCATATAAGCCTAGGAATGGAACCTAATTTAACGTGGTTTTGTATAAGTTCTCCCTCCAGCCTCGTGTGTATATATAATGTCCCCTATGCATGCACACCATTTTGCTCCCCTTAAACAAGTTTTTTTAAATATATTAAAATTTGTAGAATAATTTAATGATTTTATTTAAGGCCCTCTTCAACCATTCTTTAACCCACTCATACATATATGCATGGTATACGATAAAATACCTGCCAATTAGTCCTATAAAGTTGTGGAAAATCGTTACTGAGAAATATGATATACTTTTAAATCAGAAGGTTCGACACTGTTCTGCATGAATTCAGCAAAGTGCCCAACAACTTTTTGCATGAAAAATTTTTTTTCAACTTTCAAGTGCTGTGTCACTGCTGTTGAAATCACGTATATACATAGCATGGATATCATTAAAACTTTTTTTATTCCCCTGTTAAAATGTTCAGTTTAAAATGCATATTTTCATTGAAAAGGGGTTATAAGCTAGGAGGGCTTTGGTTAATTCACTTGCATGCTATACATAATTGGTAATTGGAAGTGAAATTTTTTCGTTTTGTTGTTAAATTGTCATTTAATTATTTTTAGTGATTTCGAATCGAATAAAATAAAAGAGATACCAGATGATATTTTAAAGAAAATGCCGAACCTTACAGTGTTGTAAGTTTAAAACGTATTCTAATTCTTGTTTAATTAAACGTATTTTTGATGTTTCCTCTTTAAAGGATGTAAACATACAGTATAATTGCCAAAAGCTCTTTGAGTATATATGTAACATTAATACACCAGGTGGCCCAGGACCGAAACTAGATGCAGTAATTAGGGGGTGCATGAGCAGTGGCGTAACAAGAACGATAATTGACGGGGTGAATCAATATTCATATATCCAGCAATAGCTTGCTTAAAATCCATCGGGCATAACTGAATATATGAATATTCAAATTATTATCGTTCTAATTACGCCCTGTGCATGAGTGCATTCATATTCTTTTTCAGCAGAAGATTTCTTTAGTATGTTGCATCTGAAGGCTCTCACATCGTTTGTGCGTAAAACCGAAGCGCAAAACGAATTTGATCTTTTCTTTAATTGAGCTATAATTCATGTTGTAATTTTTCTTTGAAAATCATATTAAAATTTATTCATTTTAGGAAGTTAAGCCGCAATAGTATAGAAAAAATTCCAGAAAAGCTGTTGGAGAACAACACAGAACTGAAAGCCCTGTAAGTATAGATCTGAGATCATGGTACATGGGAATATATTATTCTCTTAACCCTATATGATAATTTCAGCGTCCTTTCCAACAACAAAATCAAGAAGATTGAAGCTAATGACATTAAAGATGGCAATAAACTGGAAGCATTGTAAGTAGACGGCAACAACCCCGTCCCCAGCGCATTTCCCTTTTCTCATTAGGAATGCTTCGAGGATGAATTTGGACGTAAGTATAATTCATAAGTTAGAAACCGATAGCTTGCCATACCGCAGGCTAGTCTTAGGTTGCCAAGGTTTGTGCTTAGCAACAGACTGCGGGAGCTTATTAGTTATGCACATGCAGTGAATTTCACGTACTCCCCTTCTCGTTACCAGTCCCGAAACGATCTGTTATAAAGTATATGTATATTCAATCATTGATCTTATTATTCAACAATAATTGTAATTAGTAAAGCTCAATAATTGTAAATTAGTAAGTCCACGGGCTCGGGAAAACCTCTAGATTGCTGTGCTTAACTTATACAGCTAGCATATCAACACCAGATATGGTTTAGTGAGGATTAGGTACAATATATATAAATATTAATACTCAGTCATGCAAACAGCATGTAATGACCGTTGATTGCATTGCAGTGATATCGAGAGCATGCAGGGGGGTTGTCATATTGTCGTACGACGCACACCATGCATATTCATAAAGGAATAATTTGGGTGGCGAATATTTTTTAGATTGGTCAATGGTAACCCTCTCGAGGATTTAGACTGGCCGGTGATCAAAAAAATGAAGAACCTCAAAGCATTGTAAGTGCATGTTATAGTCTGTTGACGTCATCATGAGTATTGAATTAATGACTTTGTTTGAAACGTTCTCATTAATATATTTAATTGCAGGAATATTCGTAATCTCAAAGCATCCAATGCTGAAGGTTTTAGTTTTATTCTGAATCCCAGGATATTTTATGAAAACACGCAACTGAAATTCATGTAAGTTTCTTTGATTCTAAAACAATCCCTTGCGTGCAGAACTAAACATGCAGTCACTAATATGACGCCGAAACTAAGTTACAATGCAGGGTATATTATATACTGATACTTGATCTCCAGCGGTGTATTTCCTATAATATATCTCATCTGTTAATGATCCAATCAGAAAGCTCGATTTGTACCACGTGATCAGTCAATTAATCACGAAGTTCCATCGACGTTTCCCCACATTACAGTAAAAAGTCGAATATCCCGCTTCGAGTTTACGTGTATACCACGCGTGGATATGCATCGCGCACGATTATATCAGCCATTGTTATATAGGTGCTTTGAATTTTAAATGTGATTGGTTCATTACTCGAGTCTCCATGTTTCCATACTTCTCGTCTCGGGAACATTCATACTCTCGGGAAAACAAAACTCACCATTTCCCTCGGGAGTATACATTAAGTGTATATTATTATTATCGCAACGTCACAAGCTAGATGTGGTTGCTCTGTCTAGACGTTGTTTCGATATAATATATAATTTATTGACCTTCCGCTCAGGATATATCTTCTGACCGTCCCTCGCTCGGGATGTATCATCCCTTGCATGGAGGTAATATTAATTTTCATTTAATTCCCCTCACTTCAGGTCTTCAAAAACGTCGAATATATTTTTCAGTTCTTAATCCTCAAAAAAACCTGTTTGACTTACAAAAACGCCGGAAAATCCAGGTTTTAAAGATTTCATGTTGGCCAACGCGTGCACCAAATTATACTTCATGCAACATTAAACGTTTGTACAGCACAGTTGCATTAATTGTATCACTTAGTGTGATCGAATTGTGTCTCAGATGCGCAAGGTTGTTTTGAAGGGCTTTCACAACCAACTATACTTACGAATGAAAAAGCTAGTATCTTTGATCTTAAACGAACATTAAGGTTTAGGTTTGCTGAACGTTTTTGCATGCACTGAATCTCGCGCACATCGTTCTATTGGGTGCTTTTTCAAAGAGCATGCTTTTTTGAAATACACTGTAAATGCTTTGAAGTAAACATTTACTCATAATCCTAATTCTGTTACGCTAAAGCTAAACATAAACTAAATTACAACCATAATTTAACTTGGTGCCAACATTAGATTATTGCAATTTCACTTATAGATTCACGAGTGTGTATGCTGATTGTTGTAATATCAAACGTATGGAGAATACGACAAAGAGAAAATATGGTAAAATTAATAAAGAGTGGGTTTGTCAATTCAGGAACAACGACCTTGAAGTCAAGGAAGAATGTGGTAAGACGTCGGAGAAATAGTAACTGCATGCTCTTTATGTTCTATCGCATCAGAAATTAAGATGGGCCCGTACCGCAGTCAAGCTAATATATACTAAATATAGGGATGATATTTTTAGGAAGAATCTTTGAGCAAAACAATTTGTTCAATCACAATTCGATTTAACACTGTATGAACCAGGTTGATGTTCATAAATATCACGCACAATGCATAGAGAGCTTGTGCATTGTGAGCACAAGACCTTGTCAGGGCAGCTGTCTTTGATTTTAGGCTTAACCTTCATTTATTGTTCAAATGCTCTATGGAATTTTAAAAATGCTTCTTACATTGCTGTTAATTCGTCATCCTGAGAAAGACTATAATTGTGCGACCTTTTCTCCAGTATTGCGTGGAGAAAAGTTAAACCGCCTTACGTTAGTTAGTCACAACACTGTCGTCATATATGACGTGTATCAAATTCTTTTAACAACTAGCTGTAAGGATTAGCTCCGGGGATCTGGAGGATACGTATCAGGGACATGTGGAAGTTAATAAGAAAGGAAAAGGCGTTTGGGAAAAATTGAAGAGCACCAATTGGACTATGGAAGATGCAAATGTCGTTTGCAGAGAAGTGGGATATGATCTTGCGTTAGAATTCACAACTGCTTATCATTACGAGTTAAGAAAAAGCCAGGATCCCAAAATTTATCCTGAAAATATTCCGGGTTCCCACATGTGGAACAGAGCATGCAATGGCTCTGAATACTCAATTTTGCGGTGTCAAAAGAGAGACGGTGGCTCACACCTTTTTCCCGATGCCGGTGTTGGCGTCAGATGCAAATCTCCCGGTAAGAAACATATATATATATATATATATATATATATATATATATATATATATATATATATATATATATATATATATATATATATATATACATATGTCCCTTCAATTTACTTTATCAACCCTAGCATGCATTCATTTATTGCAGACGAAAGGATAGATAAAATGTGCACTGAAAAGAATGCAACTCGGGCGTTCGATTGTATCAAGGAGGACAACAAGAAGCTTAAAAATTTACCATGGCAGGATAAGAATGATACAAAATGCAAAATGTACGTATATACATGTACCTGTAACCTGTTGATTTAGATTAAATATTGATGGTCACGTAAATAAAAATACATTCATATAGCATGCAGAGATATGCGGTCTGCTTGTAAGCGCACTGTCTATAGAACTATCAAAACTGCAACCTTGGTTATTACTGATATTACTGTGTTGGCTATAATTACTCTAAAACCCTCTAGTTGCACTATCTGTGAACACTGATTCGGCATTCAGGAGGTAGGGGGTAAAAGTAAATGCCATGTTTAATGAAAAAAATCATATGAAAAAATGAAGCAGAATGTGAATGATGTCGTTTAGTTAAAACTCGCTAAATGCTTCGTCATAAAACTAACTCAGTTATCTTCATTGGGGTTATCATCATTTTTTTATTATGTTATTTTTTTTAGGATAGATCTCAGGGGAAATGAAATCAGATGGATACAAGACACTACTTCTCTAAAACACTTTAAGAGCCTGGAGACATTGTAAGTATATTTAATTTATTCTGGGAAAGCTGAACTGCCGCATGTATGCAATCAACCAATTAACCCGCACGTTATATTTATTGGCCTCGCGGGCAGATCAGAGAGAGTTTTTCGATTTTTTACGAAATACTCGAAAAGACATCTCACTTTGCGCTAAATTTATTTCTAGGTACTTATCCGGAAATGGTTTAGCATGGCTTCACGATGGCGTTTTTGAAATAAAAAGTTTGATTACATTGTAAGTAGCGTTTCATATTATTCAAATATGCAAATTTATCGTGCCGCCGAATCAGTACATTTACGAGATGAACGATATTGTTTAATGTAGCTATAATTTTCATATTAGGTATACTTTTCACTAGCTATAAGAATAACACCGAAACATTTCTTAACAATGTATGCATTAATCATTCATATATTCCATTGGCATGCATGCACCAATCATGCACGATGGCGTCTGGTAAGCACGCACCCTTTCTGATGGTAACTCATCCAACGCCTCTGCATGTCATAAGATAACGACATTTCACTTAAGAATTACCGGCTGTCAAGCGGGCCAGGGCTGAATTTTTTTCTGACGTAGAAGCGCGGCTCCGGCTGCCTTTCGAAACCCTGATAAAAGCCCTGTTTACACTATACTCAATTTATTGGCACGGCACGGCTAAAATGGGTACCCGTGCCCAATTTTATTAGTGTTCAGGCTACCAAAACAAAGGCCGGGCACGGATGAAATGGGCACGGGTACCCATTTTAGCCGTGCCGTGCCAATAAATTGAGTATAGTGTAGGCTAAAGTGCTAGTCACGAAAATTACGGCGCTATAAGTTTGAACCTACTTTTCTACCCGCAGGGATTTAAGTAACAATAACTTGAAATTCATCATAGGCGAACTGAAGTAAGTATAAATCAGCTATTTCTAGATGAAATTCAGGCTAAATTACTAAATGTTCATCAATGATCTGACTGCATGAGTGCATGCATATGAAACCAAAACTTGCAGGCCTTTGGCCCTATACAAACAAACATGCACAAAAATTGCAATTCAGTTAGGGCAGAACAGATTCTAACAACTTAACATATAGCATGCATTCCCTCTGATCACCCAAAACAAATTTCTGTCAACCTTCCGCCAGTTATATGATCACAAAAATATGATCTTTAATTTAATGTAGGCTATTCCTAATCAATAACGCATGCATCCGGTATATAGCATGAATATATGCTCGTATCTTATCCCGAAGTATGAAACTTGTTTTTTCTCCTGACGTGCATGTGGGGAAGGGAATGAGGATGAACGAATCGGAAATTATGGTATAGCTACGTGGTTTTTAAATCGTCCCTTTTTATTTTGCTAAGAATTCTTGAGTAGTTATTTTGAATTTTCTAATCACACATGAATTAAGGATAAAAAATTACGTACGGGCTTTTAGATTACATTACTTTTTATGGGTGATCGCGATTCGCAACCTCTTGCAAGTTAAGATTATTGGGCCTCTCCAAATCTATAATTCCCTATCGTATCACAACCAGCTACATTACCCTTGCTGCATGTTTACCATTGGCTGACGCCTAATTCGTGTTTTGCTTTAATTCGTTTACAAGGAATGCTCAACTTAAAAAGCAAGACTGGTTCAAAGGTTTAAATAACCTGCAAAGTTTGTAAGTGTAAAATCTAATTTCATTCTATAATTGTTACTTCTAAACAAAGAAACATAATGGACAAAGGTGAAAATTTTAGGAAAAAGATAAATAAAAATTATGTAATTAAAAAGCTAACATAATTGAAAATCAAAATCTATCTTTTGCGCGAGACAATAATGAAAACCTTCTTTAAATAAATTGGAATTGTCGGTGGAAGGATTTGGGTCTAGGACTATGCTTCAGTATTTTACTTAAAATTATATAAATAAAGCAGCAGTAGTTGAATTATACGGCAAATGTTATATAAGAAGCCAGATTGAGTAACACGATCCGAAACATGATGAATCTATATATGGTGAATGTGGATGGATGGATCAAATAGAATTGCAGTAATTTAAACAATGTAAAAAATCGTATACGAGGTTGCAGCTGTATACATGTAACTTCATGCAGGTGTTTTAAAATTTCATTTTTAAGGGACATTTCTTCAAATCAACTTACAAGTTGGCCCAGCAACGTCTTCCTACCTCTAAAAAGCATACAAAACATGTAAGTGTGTTGGGGCTGCGAAGCGCTTTTTAATGGAAAGCATGACAGGTTTTGGTTATCTCTTAATTTCCACCAATGCCAATGGAAACTTTAGTTTCGTGCACGAAACCGTATGCCAAAATTGAGTGTTAGTTTCATTTATGCATGTCTTGGGCCGATTGTATAAAACTCTTTTTAAAAACTCAATTTTAAGTAGTTTCGTATTAACTAGAAAATACATTATACTGTATTATTTATGATTGATCAATTCTGCCACTAACTATATACTTAAAGTTAACCACCTTTTTTCAATTTTATACTAAAGATTGTTTCAAGTGTCATGCGCCCGATACACATATACACCCGTTCTTCTAGGTCGATGAAAAACAACAGGTTTAAGGAGTTTCATAACAGATTCTTTGAACATTTAGGATCACTGCAGCGGCTGTAAGTTATTTTTTTTATATCAATTTTGTGAAGGACTTGTCTGATTAAGGTTCGTCGCTTCGCGCGAGAAAATTTGTGTCTGCATATACATTATTCAAGCGATAGTTGATGGAATCAGCATTTAGAACGTCAGTATAGTGCGAAGTTCATCGTAATGAGGACTTAGTTAATTTTCAATTGTTTCACTTGTTTGGGTTCCTTTTGACCTAATACATAAAGCCTATATAGCTTAGAGCATTAACACTACTATTTTCCCCCACAAATTTCTTGCACACGGGAGAGTGGGGCTGTGAGCCATGATTTATTTGGTTGACATGTTGACCAGGAGCTCCGCTGGTAACCAATCCAGAAAGCTAGCATCCGAGATGTTGACATCACCTAAAATATCATCAATACCAAATACATTGAAATTATATACTTAAGGCTCACAATTTTTTACAGGGACATTTCAACCAATCCTGGTCTAATTATCCAGAACTGGGTCGAACTTTTAAAATATTTGAGTAACCTGAAGCATCTGTAAGCATACAAATTATATAAAGATCTGTTAGTTGTTTATGCATGCTTAATGAATGTGTCACCCAACAATGCTCCAATCTCCATTTTTAATGTTGAAATGCAGTGGCGGCGTTCAATCTTAAGTGGGTGGAGAGGACATTCCACCACTCGTCAGTGAGTCAACAAGTTTACCTTCGGGCAGGAAAATAAGGGGTCAGAAATCAATACGAGTTGGAAAAAAAATTTGAGCATAAATCTAGAGACTGGCTTTAAACGGGCATTTCCCTCTAAACGTGTCAGTCTAAATTAGGAGATGGGCTGATGGGCCAGAGGTGTTAGCCACAACAACCAGCACTACTAAGATTTAGTATACTATATGATCTAGGCTATACCAATTTAACCATTCTAAGTAGAGTTAAACTTTTAAAACTTGTTATATACCAGCTAATTTGAGATAATGGTAATTTTTAGGACGACAGATCGGTTCACAGATTGCTGTTTTGTGGAGGCAATCTTGTCGGATGCAGAATGCGTTGCCCCAGCTGATAGTCTTGCCAGTTGTGAGGAAATGATAAAATATCCGGCGCTCATAGTTCTAATGTGGTTCTTGGTTGTTCTAACGATCGGAGGGAATATTTTTGCCCTCCTCATGCGGTTGGTGAAGGACGATCAAAACAGAGTACAAAATATGTTCATTTGCAGTCTTAGTTTCAGCGACATGCTCATGGGGGTGTACTTAGCAGGAATAATCAACCAGCAGATTGCGACAAAAGGTGAATACTACAAGCATGATTACAGCTGGCGCTCAGGCATCTTGTGTAAGATATTTGGTATAATATCCGTCATATCAAGCGAGGTCTCGGTCTTCACCCTGGTCTTCATTGCCTACGACAGATTCTTGCACATCGTTCACGCTATGGAATTCAGAAAGATCGGTTATCGCACTGCGGTCTTTCTGTTGTTCAGTACCTGGGCCTGCTGCACTGTTATTGCCGTCCTTCCCGCGATGATCGATTCGTACTTTTACGACAACCTACGCAGAGAGGGTTTCTACGGGACCAACAGCATCTGTATGCCGCTTCAACTCCCCGGTGAAGACACAATAGCATGGGAATATTGCCTCGCGGTGTTCGGAGCACTGAATTTCATTGCTGCAATCTACCTCATCGTATCCTACTGCCAAATGTTCTACTCATCTTATTCCTCAGCGAAAGAATCAAAGAACAACACCCGTCTTGGTGTGCACACGACCATGGCAAAACGATTCGCAGCCGTCGTATTTACCGACGTTTGTTGCTGGGTTCCAATCGCAATGTTGTTACTCTTATCCCTCGTTCGGGCAATCAACGACGGAGGCAACGAGTTGTACATGTGGTTTTCGATTTGCGTCATACCAATCAATTCAGCCATCAATCCTATCCTGTATACCCTCAGCACACCGTTGTTCTGGGAGAAAGTCAAGGCAACCATCAAGAAAATGCTATTCTGCCTGTCACAAGGTTTGACCAGAGTTAATTCCGCAAATGTTTATTGTACATTAGTTTGTATCCTTGGCTCAATTCTGCATATTTTTCTATCGTAGATCGTCGAAACGTTGGCAAATCTGTTAGTAGTGATAACCCAAAGTTGATCACGAAAATCAAACGGGACAAAAAGGCCTAAACAACATTTTAAGCCGGGCATCTTAGTTTAGGACAGTGTACATCACTGTAATAGGCTTGATATTCTAGAAGAAGACTTAGAAACAAGTTGTATACTAAATGCTGAAATTGGCTGCCATTTCATCTCGAAGCATATTTTTAGATTTTACACTAGTCGAGAAATTGTATCCTGCATGCATTTAAAAATGAAGCAGAAAAAACGTATAAAGCTAATACCTTATCAGTAACGCATTACGCACCTTAGTCTTCACATGATTTGAAACGCATATATAACATTAAACAATTCATTCTAAAATGTAAAATTAAAGATAGCATGGGAAACAGCGATAGCGATGCCTGGCATATAACGGTTATGTAATCATCAAATAAAAAATCGTCATATGCACAAATCATGTTAATGCTATTATTTTCTGCAACCTTATTTTCCCCCCATTACACTCCTGTTGACCGTTTGCAAATTCGAAGAGATTATAAATGGTTTTGTGCTTGGCATATGATAATATATAACTTGAGTGGCAGATTGGCAGGATTTTGTGAGAGGGCTTAGTTCGCGGCATATAGGCCCGTTTCAAATTTCGAACTTTCACTGCACACAGTTGTACCACATGATAGTGATGGTACTGCATGGTATCACTTTAAAACACCAAAATCTGTCTGTCACTCACGTCATATTTTTTTAAAAATTTAGTAAAGAAAGAGAACAATTTGGGAAAATAGTCTTCTGGATTGTCTATGCTGTCACTCACATAGAGATTATAAATAACAATAGAGGAGGCATTGGTATCGGAAACATTTATATATAGCCGAAAAAGGGAGCGCGTTAATGGGGAGCAAATTCAAGTCCCGGATGCTAAGCAGAGCGCCTATTGGCTACATCATTTTTTTTTAAACTGCCAGTTACGTTTATTAGTACTACGGAAATTCACAATGATCGACCATGCATTAAAACTAAGTATAACAGTTCTACAGACTATTTACAAAAGCAACTTAACGATAGATTCGCTTATGTCATTAGTTGATGTGATGGACGCAGTCGTCATATGTAAATAGTGAAATAGTTGGCACTTGACATTCATTGTAACACTGTACAGAGTTGCAAATAAGCTGCGGGTATGCGGGTATATCACCAAATTTCGCTAAATTCGAGGAAGGTTTACGCATTTAATAGTGGAAGTAGAAAGTACAAAAATTAGGTAGTATATACCTAGTTGGCCTGCAAAATCATAGCTGCCCCAGCTGTAGGTGGCCGGTAACAATTAACCAAGAAACGTTTTCTAGCTCTTTATGGAGAGCTAAAGATAGACATCAAAAGCAATAGTATCATAGCCATATAGTTTTGAGATCTTCATCAGTATAATTTGTTTTTCTCCCATGCAGTGGAACGTTGAAACTTTTTGCGACTTTGTCATTGAGTTTTCAGAATTTATATCTGATTGTGTATCTAATCTATTATTGAATAAAATTTAATACTAAACTATGTAATACACTCCTATTCAAAGGGAGTATAATAGGGGTTAATAGCTTCAACCCAGACTGAATCTTTATACCCTATTTAGAGCTTGATTTTTGAATATCGACCCCCCCCCATCCGGGGGGTTACAACCTTCCCAAATTGCGCAGAAATTACGCCCTAATTTACTCAAGAGTCATGCAGGTGAAATTACTCGTCGGTCCCCAAAATTGAAACATAAAATAACTTAAAACAAAATATAAAATAATCTCAGCTAAATTTACTCCACCATGGATCAACACATTTTGTTGAATTGAATGGCAAATAGCATTGCTCATATTTTAGTACAGTAGTCCCCCGCTAACTTGAAATCCTACGGAGCCCTGTAAGGGCCATGCATGGTAATTATCATCTTTTTTTTTATATTTTCCGACTTCTTTTTCAAATTCGACGGCCTTATTTTTTTGGCGTTTTTCTAGTCTGTGGAGGCCCTTAAAGGCCATTATTGTTGAAAGTTATATGCAAAGTAGTTTATATGCAAATCACCATGTCGCAAATTTCTGGTAGTGGTAACAGGGCCTTAAAGAATCAGTATTTCATAATTATATCAAGCAGGATTTTTTAGGAAGTAAAGGCATGAACTGCGGCAATACAATATACGTAAATATAGACGTAACCTATAACACCAACCCCGGTTAACTCGAACCCCCGGTAACTCGATCAATTTTTCTTTACTCTTGGGAGTTCGAGTTAGCGGGAGAATACTGTATATAGGCAGATTACGTCTGCTTTTCAGCGGCCAAATCTTATTTGACTAGTCTTAGCACTTCATGAGTGCGTGTAACTCATACTTGTTTTATAAACAATTTTCAAAGGTAACCGGGGTAAGCCGAACGGAGCACAAAATGTTTAAGAGATACGGACGACTACACATGCACCGTTAGATTCGTCACGCAAAAGAAGGGCTGCCATATCTTCGTTGTGGGATGAGTGCATGCTCAAAAAACATTTTCTATATCAAGAAATTCCACTGAGACAACTCAATGACTAGAATTTTCTGGAGCATCTCTTTTTCCGTCCCCCCAAAACACTCCTTCTTACATGATTGGGATAATTTTTCGACAGTATATATAAATAAATGGTATAGTGTGATGGCACATGAGAGACACCGCAATATTAGACGCTTCGGTTGAATAATAAAGAATAGAAGTATATTGATCTTGAACTCATAAACATGCAAGAACATACTAGATATCTGACGCGCATCTTCAAGTGGTACTCAATGGCAAGCTGGAAATGCGCAGTACGTGCATATGAATGCAGCAAAATTAAGCCCTATGTGAATATGCAAAATTTATGAAGTATACATCTTCGCCACTTTTGTAAAAATAATTTTGACTTTTGTTGGAATACACGTCAACATTATGGCCTTCAAAGAAGCTAGAGATTGGAGAGTATATATTTCGAGATATGATATATACTAGGTTAACTACAGGTAGTGAATGCTGCCTTTATTGCATCTTGTATATCTGCAAACACGCGCTTGCGCAAGCCTAGTCATGCAGGATTGAATTGTAGAAAGAAGTACTTAATCGGGTAATCGCCAAATCGGTTTGACAACAGCCTTGGAGAATGAAGTATTCACTATTCACCGTTTGTGAGGAATTTTATGTAAATTGTTCTCTTTGTTTGGGCCTAAGTTAATTTTTGCTGAATAGATTAAATGAACAAAGATGAAGCATGTGCAAGTTCGCCAGCTGTTTTATTTTGAATGCACGTGATCACAATAGTAGGTTGTTGTGTTACTGAAATCTAGTTATTTAAAAAAGATAACGTAGTTGTGAACTCTTCACATGGGACTTGGCTAAATGTTTGAGATTGTTTCGCAGATCATTAATCGAGACTGCAGGTAAGCAAAAATGATCATGTGCCGTTGATCGCAAATATATCTCTGAATAACAACGTGCTCATGCCTTTCGCAGAGCCAGCAGAGGCTAGGCGATATAAAGAACAATTACTTGATGATGCAATTTTTGTTTTAACAGAGTTTTTGATATCATTCTGTTCTACTCTCCTCAAGTTGGTGTTAAGTACGGTAAGTTGCTGTCAGTAAAAGATAATTTTTTGTAAAATTTTATAGATATACATGTATAGATATTTTACCACTTCCGATTTCACTCGCTGTATTTACTGCGCTTTTGGTGGTGAATGATTGCATTTATGCTCCTTTACTAATGGCAAGTCAACCAATGAACACAAAAATCTTTGAGATTTGGCATGAAGAGGAGTAAGAAGGAAAGATTGACTATGTTGTCCTTGGTCATAAGACATTTCAAATTTTAACTGCAACTGACCAGATAAAACAAACGTTTTGAAGTCAATTCACAACATTCGATATCAAAATATATAGAACACTTCAAAAACACAGAAAAAAGCAAGAGGCATGTAAAATACACACCAAAAAACGAGGCATGTAAAATACACACCAAATAAGTTTAAAACAAACCAGCAGCAAATACAGGGTGTATAAAAAAAACTACAAATACCATAATTTGTATCCACGAGATTATACATTAGAATTTCAATGACTGTGCAACTAATTACGCTTCTGGGATTTTATTCTCTGTTGTTAGCTGATGCATTCGTATAATTGACCTTATTTTAAATCACTTTGTGTGCTTGTTTTGATAACCGTGGGAAACGTATTTTCAAATCCCAGAAGCGTAATTAGTTGCACAGTCATTGAAATTCTAAAGTGCATACAAATTATGGTATTTGCAGTTTTTTTGATACACCCTGTATATCAATACACAGGAATATGAAAAATGCTGAAATATTTTAAATAAAAGAAGTGTATTTGAAGCTATATGTAAAAGTCAAAAGTCTAAATTTGGCAAGTGAAATAGGAGGTGAATCAATGTCAATGCTATATAGCCGGCTTAGGCGTACACTCGTGCTCTAGGGATTGTGTTCTAGGGACATTACTTGAGGGACACAACATGGCGTGTTGTGGGAACCTATAGCGTAAGTTGAGGCTTTGTGGTTACCCTGGGCCTGGGAAGATAGTATATGGTAATTTACAGTTGGTACGGTATTTAGTCGACATTTTTTCTTGATGCAATGTCAATTACATTGTATCAAGGTGACAACAGCATCATGATCAGAATAATAAACGTGTACTACAGAATTTCTAATTGCGTGGAACGAAGTAAAATAATACATTTACCGTGATTATCATCACGATTCACAAATGCCGATTATAGGTAGCCTAACAATCCGCACGGCGTGAGATATTACTGTGTCAATGCTTCTATATTGACTGCGGACTGCAGTGTTTTAGTTCAGACGAAAGCTTTCAAAAAACTAGTTGTAATAGTATTGATTCGTATTGTTCGTAATGTCAGTCAACGGTTCAAACATTTAGGTATTAATAAGTATAATTTATAAGCATTTGTACGTCTGCGAAACTGCAAAACTGCAAAACTGCGAAAACATCGTCCTCTGTGCATATATATTTTACATCTTTCGTATTGTTTGCAAAATGTGGCTTGTATTGTCGGATAATTACATTTCGTCATACATTACTGCCTACTGGGTCAAGTGCGCAATGCATTCTGGGTCATCGAGGTGCAAAACGCGAACGACACACGACGATATCTAGACTCGTGCTCTCCTAATAATTATGAATGGCAATTAAATTTTGTGTCAAAGCAAAATTTAAAAAATTCCCAACTACATCAATTAGGTCTGCTGCCTTGCTCGCTCGCCCCAGGCTCGCTCGCTGCGGCAGCAAAAATGACAGGTATATTATTATTATTATTATCATCAATGTGCCAATATATAATTTGATATACCCGCGAATATATCCGAGTTAGCTGCATGTGTACAAAAGCCAATTGTTTTCAGTAAAAAGCCATAAATGTATAAGAAAACGTGAATTGTCTGCAAAAATCCACATTTGCACAAGAAAGGCGACGAAACAGACAACTGCATCACGGAGTCGGACCATCTGCCCCAAAAGTTTTGTTCTTCGAAAAACCAATCATGCGAAGCGAGGAAGCGTAGCTTGTAAATTTAGCCTGTCAACTTTATGTTTGTATAAGTATATCT